ATTAAATTCATATATCAATTGTAATGTTTTAATATTACCATAAATTTCACTATATTTTCCTAAATCTATTGACTGAATTGTTTTGCAATGTTTTTCAGCAAAAATATCGATAAAATTAGTATAATTTAGTTCAAATATTTTAACATATTTGTTGTCTAAATTATAAATTAATTTATAATAATTATTATCTTTTTCAACAATATTATAGCAAATATTAGTAATATTATTGATTAGATATATTATATTTAAATCGCTGTAAAACTTTCCGCAATGATAAACATATCCATTATTATTAAGTAAATATATATTATTATTATAAAATGATAGACATTTTATATTAATTATATTATTAATTAATTCGGGTTTTAATAATTGTTTTGTATTTTTATGTCCCAACAGATTGTATTGATTGTTACCCCAACTGTATACGAGTCCATCCATTGTTATGGCAAATGAACACCAATTGTAACAATAAATTGATTTAATTATAGTATTTATGGTTAATATAATACAAGTGGGACTTTCAATGCAATCGGTTTGTTGTCCGCAACCGCACTGTCCATACGTGTTAAGACCCCATCCATAGACAGTGCCATCACAGCTGAGGGCCAGTGAATGATGTGAACCACTGGTGATATCAATAATACATTTATCGCTGAGTAGTTTAATGATCGCTGGTTTGCTGTACACATCATCACTGATGGTATGTCTACCCAATTGATTGTAATTATTCCGACCCCAGCTATATATTTGTTGATCACTTGTTATACATAATCCAAAACCATTACCGATAATAAATTTGTTAACATTTTTCGCACATAATTCTGGTATAACTTCGGGTTCATTGATACCTATATTGTGACCCAAACCAAGTATACCATTCCTGTTATCACCCAATGTATAGACGCTATCATCTAATATTACAAACCATACATTTAAGCCATCAAAATGAAAACGTTTGATTTGTTTTTTGATATTTTTTGATAATATACTATCATTTATTGTATATTTATCTAACAATTCAATATTGGACATTATATTTGTGAAAATTACATAATTATTAGAATTATAATAATAATAATAAAAATATTTTCACAAAAATTTCATTATTATTATTTATCAATAAATTGTTTTGTTTTATTTTTTTAGACATAATGAATGCTATAGTAATTATCTGTATATAAACTATATTTAATACAACAAAAATATTTTAAAATCTAATCTTACATTATATGAAATATAATGGTATTATAATTAATGTAATTTATATTTTATTTTTTTATAAAATAAAAATTATTTAATAAATAATAAAGTTAATTTATCATTAAATATTTTTTTTAATTATCAATATTTATGTAATAGAAAGATTTTATATATTAAATGTAAATATATTTACTAAATAATTAAAAATAAATATATTTTTTTAATTAGTTATCAAAAAAAATATTTTAAAAAATTTATTATTATCTTTATAAGTAATTTTTAAAATTTATTATATAATAATAATAATAATAGTATTTAATTGTTTTAGATAAATAATATATTTAAATTTCACCAAATTTAGTAATAAATATTTGTCTAAATATATTGTCATCACTTAGTTGGGCTATAATTGATTGTTGAAATAATTGTTTATCAACTATATTAATATAATTAAGTTGATCCAGGACAATTTGTGTACACGTGGGTCTTGAAGTGTATTGCAATTGTTTCATTTGTTGGATCAAATTTACCAACTTTTCCATATAATATCCAACACTACTACTATTATCGTAAATCTTAATGATTGCACTATTAATAAGTAAATTATAAAAAAAACTATTAAAATTTAAGTTACAAATGATAAAACTTTGTTATTATTTAAAAAATAGAAAATAAAAATTAGATTTTGATTAGATTTAAGTTAATTAAACCTAATTAAAATAAAATTTTAATTTAAACAATATATTTAATATCTATATACTGTATAACTTACTCATCAACTATGATATTATTTAAATCAAAAATATCCATTAAAATCATTGCCAAACTATAGACATCACATTTTTCGTTATATTTTTCGGTACTAATCTCTGGCGCTCTATATTTAGGTGTTCCCACATTTAGCGTATGATTGGCTGAATGATTATCCGTACGGTTGTGATCAGTGGCCGAACCAAAGTCACCTAATTTTATAAACCGCTTATTAGTTGGCTTATCGTTGATGAGTATGTTTGCAGGTTTGAGATCGCGGTGAATGACCGGCGGATGTCTTGTATGCAAATATTCAACGCATTCACACATTTCAAGCATCAGATGACTTGTAATGTAATACTCGATACAATCCATCGGTTCATTGGATTGTTTTTGAAATGTTTTTGCCTTCACTTCAATCAAATCTTTAAGACTTTGCGAACATAACTCCATTTGAATGAATAGATTGTTGAACTCAAACCACGCGTCCAAACAGTTGACCACAAACTGTGACCGAAGTTTCAATAATTGTTTAACTTCTTGATTAACATTTGATTTTTCATTTTCATCTATAATTAGAATAATAACTAATTAATAATTAATAGTTTTGTTGTTTTATTTATACCGTATAATAAAATGTCTTTTATGGCAAAAATATCTTTAGTTTTTTTGTCTTCTACTTTATATACCTTTCCATAACCACCCGAACCCAACAATTTAATTGTTGTAAAAAATATCATAAAATTATTTGGTTTATCATTGATTTCACGATAATTTTCAGCATAAAAATCTAAATCAATTGTTTGATAAGTTTTATTGCATTCGACGGCAAATAAATCAACAAATGATTTATAATATAATTTTCGTAATTCAATGTTTGGTTCATAAATTAATTCGTAATATTTATCACATTTTTGTATATAATGATCGCACATATCATCGATTGAATTGACATTGATTTTTGACGGACTTTTAAATAACATTTCATATATTTTTCCGCATTGATAAACATTTCCATCAATTGTTAGAAAATATGTTATCAAAGCTTTTTTATGGAAAGAAATTAATTTTATATTTTTTTCAAAATTATTAATCAATTCTGGTTTCAAAAATTTATTTGTATTTTTATGTCCCAATTGATGATATTTATTGCTACCCCAACTGTAAACTAGTCCATCCATTGTTATGGCAAATGAATACACAAAATGACAATATATTGATTCAATGACTGTATTTGTTGGAAATATAACACTAATCGGACTATCAATGCAATCGGTTTGTTGACCGCAACCGCACTGTCCCCAACTGTTACGACCCCATCCATAGACAGTGCCATCACTGCTGAGGGCCAGTGAATGATGTGAACCACTGGTGATATCAATAATACATTTATCGCTGAGTAATGTAATGATTGCTGGTTTGCTGTACACATCATCATCACTGATGGTATGTCTACCTAATTGTTGAAAATTATTTACACCCCAACTATATATTTGTTGATCACTTGTTAAACATAATCCAAACATAGGTCTAGTAATAAATTTTTGGATATTTTTTTCAAATAATTCCGGTATAACTGCGGGTTCATTAACATCTATGTTGTGACCCAAACCAAGTAAACCATTTGTGTTATCACCCAATGTATAGACTCGATCATCAATTGATGTCACAAACCATATACTATTTCTGTGACAATGAATTAATTTAATTTGAATATTATTTTTTGGTAATATATTTATATTAAACTTATAAATCAATTGTAATGTTTTCATATATCCATTGATTTCACTATATTTTTGTAAATCTATTGATTGGTTTATTTTGTTTTCGGCAAATAAATCGCTAAAATTTTTATAATTTAATTCTAATATTTTAACATATGTTTCATTTGAATTATATATTAGTTCATAATAACTATTGTCATCTATTTCGACAAACTTTTCGCAAATGTTTGTTATATTATTTAATTGATAGATAATATTGAAATCCAAATAAAATTCACCGCTTTGATAGACATATCCATCAGTATTAAGTAAATAAATAAAATTATTATTGAATGATATATTCTGTATATTCTGTATATTATTAATCAATTGGGGTTTCAATAATGTTTTTGTATATTTATTTTCAAGTATATTGTATCGATTGTTACCCCAATTGTAGACAAGTTTATCATCACTAGTAATAGCAAATGAACACCAACTGTGACTATAAATTGATTTAATGATAGTATTTGTGGTAAATATAACACGAGTCGGACTTTCAATATATTTAGTTTGTTGTCCGCAACCGCACTGTCCGTATGTGTTATCACCCCATCCATAGACAGTGCCATCACTGGTGAGGGCCAGTGAATGATATGAACCACTGTTGATATCAATAATACATTTATCGCTGAGGAATGTAATGATTGCTGGTTTGCTGTACTCATCGCTGGTATGTCTACCCAATTGTTTGTCAGTATTCAAACCCCAGCTATATATTTGTTGGTCACTTGTTATACATAATCCAAAACCACTACCGATAATAAATTTGTTGACTGTTTTCAGACATAATTCAGGTATAATTTGTGGTTCATTGATATCTATGTTGTGACCCAAACCAAGTATACCACACTTATTATCGCCCAATGTATAGACGCAATCATCACTTGTCACAAACCATACACTATTATCATCCTTACAATGAAAAAGTTTAATTTGATGTAAATGTGATATCTTCTTACTTATTGTAAATTTATTTAACAATTCAATTGCAGACATATTTAGTGAAAACTATATTTTTAAAATAACATAATTATTATATTCATAAACATAAATATTTATATTTTTTTTATAATATTATATTGTTTTACATAATAATTCTATGGTAATTATCACATACAGTATATTAATACTACTATTGTATAAATAAAAATATATTTTTAATTAATAATTTTATACTAAAAATAATAATGCAATTTAATTTTTAAAAAAAAATTATTTATATAAATATTGAAACTTTTAATTATATTATCGGTAATTATTATTAAATTTATTTAATTTACAATTAATGATTGATTTAAAAGTATTTATTTATTTTATATACAGTAATAATTTATTGAAAAAAAACATTTTTAATTTTATTTTTAATTTTTAAATGACTTATTAAAATATCTCTGAACTCATCTCTAAAGTTCATCATTTGCTAGATTTACCACTTCTTCGTCATCTTTGTCGTCGCCATCGCTACTAATAGTATCTAAATTTTCTGTTAATTTAATGTTTGGATTATATAATAATCCGTTTTCATCGGCACTACTCAACAGCTGACAAATTATTGGTGACTCGATCTGTGAAAATAATTATTAATAAAAAAATTTTTTTTTAAATATAATTACAGATAAATCAGAAAAGTTAAAAAATTTTAATAATTAAAAAAATAATTTTTATATTTACTCCTAATATATATTCACAGGTTTTTGGTTCTAATAAATACAGTGCAACAGAATCGGGATGTCCTGCAATGTTACGACACCTAAACAGACACAAAACAAACAATTAATTACCGATAATTTGAATATCAATACAATCAATGATATGAAACCCGTATTTATAATATATAACCCGATATTACGGGTACTGTGTGTGTATGTGTGTGTGAATCGGTAATCACCCGTCACTTACTTCATCTTGACTTCAACACTGCGCGACTTTCCGGTCATATCGCAGGCGTCACCGTTTGAATAGTAATGCGACACTTGTTTAGGCGTTTTGTTAGACTTTGGTCTTTTCGATGGATTTTTGTTCAGCCAATTAATGTGCTGTCGTTTATCCCACTTTCCCAGCGTAATGACCGTCATTTTTACTCCTTTTTCTTCGTGATATTGTTCCACTTTATTGCCGTAACAGAACTCATATCTCCACCAACCGGTTCCCTGTAATACAACCAACAATTTATTTAGCAAACAGTTAGCAAAATAGGTGGGCGCGCGCACTAACTAACCCCATGTAAGCATAGATCACCGCTCAAAAAGTTGGTCAATATTTTCGAATCAAACTTAGCGGCCAAGTCTTCACCGCTGGGCTCATCGTTGCCGTCCTCATTGGTCACTATATTGATTCGCAACTCTTTACCAAAATCGTTGGCACCGATAATAATAGTTTTACCATCGAATATACCGCCGGGAAATGGCGAAAATTTATCCTTATTTTTCAACACTTCTAACTGTTGTCTGACTACTTCGGCTTCCATTGTCTTCAGTGCTTTGGGTTTGGCCGGCGATTTGTCCACCGGATAACAGTTGATCTGATTTTCGGGTGCAGCCGATACTTGAAACTCGGACGACTGGCACAACAGTGGCGACAATACGATGGCCTCGTACTCGCAAGTGGACGTCTCCTTAATCGAGTACAGCTCGTGTTTGGCGTCTTCGTTGCACACGTACAGTACACGTGTAAAACGCTTAGTATTACTCAGATCGCAGATCGTGCCGTCAGTCATATTCACTTCGACGTACGGCAACTGTGTTTCGTCGACGGTAACCGTCGGCCGCCGTCTGCCATCTCTGGCCAATTGTTTCAGTTGTCCATCAAATTGCTGTTCACTTTGGCCGAGTCTGGACAGTTCGTATCGACCCAAGTAGTACTCCTGAGTAGCAGAGTTTTTGCTAGTTTTTTGCGGTCCATTGTCTTCGTGAAACTGACGGATATGTTTGCCGTGACATATCTCGTACGTCCAGTACTGTTCCAAACGATAGGAACAGACTTCGCGAACCATCAATGGTTTCAACAATTGGTAACCACTTTTCGTTGAAAATTCTGATTTTGTTTGACTATCCAATGATTCAGACTTTTTCATTGATTGATTGATTGATTGTATGGTACAAGAGATAACCAAAAAACAAAACAAAAATCAGATGAAAATCAATGACAAAACTAATTGAAGATTTTAGACTTACAACGGCATCAATCTGTGGTAAAGTACAGACATATCGTTCGTGAGATGCAGTGGTTATGTAGAGGACATTGGAGTCGTGAACCACATCCTAATCGAGTGAAAGACAGAGAGAGAGAGAGAGAGAGAGAGAGAGAGAGAGAGAGAGAGAGAGAAACAATTAGTGATGTCTTCAGACAACTTCGGCGACCAAATAAAAAACAAACTAAACTTACTTTTGGTTCACTACTCGATGGTGTCCACTGAGCAAACTGTTGAATATGTTGGTCAACATCTGGCGACATCTGTTCCCGATTATCGCCCAACCAATTGATCCGATAGTAGATACTGTCGTCAAACGATTTGATTTCGTTCGAATGGGACGTCTCGATCTTGCGGTTAATACCACTACCACTACCGCTGCCGCCGGCGCCGCCACCCGAACCCGAACCGGTCGGTACTTCATTGAGCAATACTTGGCTCAAGATATTCAACAAATAGATGACAACTAATAGGATATTTGTCGACAGTTTTGTCCATTCTTTCAACGATTTCATTGTCTGTCTCTGTTGTCTATATCTTCTTTTGATTTGTTTTTTACCAATCAATCAATCAATTACTTCATCAGTCATCCAGACATTCAAACCACCATTGGATCCGATAAGTCAATCAAATTGATCCGCAAATCATGGCTTGAAATGAAATGAAAAACTTATTTCTTATTTATTATTATTTTTAAAAACACGTCATGTATTTGCAAATCAAAACACTGTCAATGTTTGGATCAAATCAATGATGTCTTTCTTCAAATCAATCAACTGATCCCCTGTTTGTCTGTTTTATTGGTACTATAACTGTGTGTTTGAAATAACATATAAAAACAGTATATACTGTATATTATATACTAAACACTATTGACGTATACTATGGGCTATACTGTACTGTTAAAACCTATTTGGATGACAATGTTTTACCAATATTGTTAGTGTTGTTAATTTTGATGTTAATTTTTTTTTTCTCAACAAACAAACAAACAAAAATACAATACAATATTGTAAACGAAAACTTTAAAAGTTTTAAATATTCTCTTAAATATATATATATATATATCGAGAGAGAGAGAGAGAGAGAGAGAGAGAGAGAAATAATAATAATTTTTAATTTACAAATTATAATGCAATTAATATCAAACATTACATTTTTTTAAAAAATAATAATATGCTTAAATATAAAAAAAATAATAATAATTTTTAATTTACAAATTATAATTCAATTAATATCAAACATTAATTTTTTTAAAAAATATAAAATTTAATTGCTAACAATCTTAACAACACTAGTGTAGTATTAAATATTTATAATCAGTACTGTATTGCAGTGTTTTATTACAGTATATGTCTATCGGCTTTAAAAACAGTGATATCACACATACAACCCGTCAATTGATTTATGATATAATTATAATTATTTTATTTTTTGAATACAGTATTAATGTTATAGTAATGGTTTGACATTAGAAATACTATTTTTAATAATAATTAATATTTATATTATTACTAAATAATATCCCAATAATTTACTAGTATTTTATATATATATATATGATATTTACAAATATATTTTTATTTAAAAAATTTAATTAATTAAATAGTAGCAAAAAATTTATATTCAAATCAATAGTTTTTTTTTATACAGTATTAATGTTTTAATTTTTAAAAAATATATAAAATATTTAATTATTAAAAATGTGAAATACATATGATTTATATCATAAATATCAACAACACATCAAATGAGTCATTGAATTGAAATTTATTTTTATATATAAATTGTGTTTTTTTAAAATATATAAATTAATTGTCGGTTAAATCACTGTTTTTTATATATTATAAAAAAATCAATGATATATAATTATAATAATTAATATCTAATATCATATATACTTATTACTAGTATATATAATCTAAAAATTTTTTTTCACTAATTATTATTAATAATAATTAATACCAAATGACTGTTTGGTTAATAAAATTATGTCATCTAATCGTATATCTGGTAGTTATCTGTTGGCAAACCATCGATGGTTTCCCAAATCAGGGTAAATGGTCTTACAATGTCTCACAGGTATGTCTTCAACATATCATGTATACCACTGACCCATACCTACTGACAAACAGAGAGAGAGAGAGAGAGAGAGAGAGAGAGAGAGAGAGAGAGAGAGAGAGAGAAACTGTCTGTCATTTGAATGAATTAAATATTTTTTTTTTATTTTCAAATTATTTAATGATATTTCTATACTAAATGTCTATTAATTTATTTATTTTGTTTAACAGCGAAAGTGTCACTACTTTGAAGTCAATTCAGCACTTTATGCCAACTCAAGCATATCCATCAAAAGTAATATATATTTATATCATATTTAATTTGATCCCATTTGGGTGATGATGACACACACACACACACCATGTCTTGAAATTAATATATATATGATATATAAATAGCGGATCAATTAAATTAAGCGATTTTTTTTAAAATGTTTAAAAACTTTTTAAATATCTATTTTATTATACATATATATATAGTCTCATGCGATTCGCTTGAAGACAAAGATCTGGCCGTACGTATCGGTTGGACAATCAGAGAGACGCCATGTTTTGAGGAATATTTGGGACCCGAAATAGCGGTCAGTTTTGTTGTTGTTATTGTTGTATATCTCATTGTTTTTTAAAATTTATCGATAATAATAAATCTGTTTCTTCAATTATGACCCCAAATAGTTACCCGAATTTCTCAAATGGTACTACTTTTGTCCGGCCACTCCGTTCGGCGATTTCGGCTACGATAGGATACAGTATTTGAAGACCAACGAAGTCGTAATCAAATGCAATCAATTGAAAAATCTATCGGTTAGTGACCCGACGACAACAACAACAACTAAAGCAAAAAAAAATTTTAATTGCAAATATTATATGACTTTTTTTTTGTTGTTTTGTTTTTGTCAAACCTGTAGCCAAAAGGAAACTTTGTCTACGAGCTGATCGGATCCACGACCAACCGTAGCTGTTCGCCACCGGACGTAATGTGTAGCAGTTCACCGGAGACAACATTGCTAACACTTATCGGCGACTATTCCGAGTCGTCGAGGACAATAGACGCCGATAAGACACTAGAGAAGAGATCGTCGTCGTCGTCGTCGGAGACATTGCCGACACCATTGTCCAGAATAATGAGTGGCCGCGATCTGACACGAATGCCTTCTGTATGATTGATTATAATCATTAATATTTTTGGATTTTTATGATTAAACTTATAAATTATTTGTTTTTTATCTGTTGAATAGTTGTCTGAAAATGAGCTAACAGTGCCCAATGATGGCGTCTATCTACTAGTTGTTTATATTGAATCCATGGACAGTAGTAAACGGTTTAACGCCGAAGGTATATATAATATATCATAACTGGTTATTGTATTTATTTATATTAATTAAGTATAAAATTGGATGTTTTTGTTTAAAAAAAAATAGTTGACATCGAAATGAAAACCCAAAAAGGACAGTACTTATCGGCAATCGATTGGCCACTATTGCCGTTCTACGGTGTTATGTGCGGCGTATATGTAGTGTTTGCTTTCAGTTGGCTATTGGTAGCGTTTCTCCAATGGCGTGATCTGTTGAGGATCCAGTTCTGGATCGGTGCCGTCATATTTCTGGGAATGTTCGAAAAGGCTGTATTTTATGCCGAATACCAGTCGATCAATTCGACTGGTGTTTCGGTCAAAGGGGCCGTACTTTTTGCCGAAATTATGTCGTGTTTTAAGCGAACATTGGCCCGAATGCTAGTCATTATTGTTTCGTGCGGTTTCGGTATTGTTAAGTATGTATTATCGGTAGTTATTGTTATTGTAATTTGTTTAATGATATATTATTTTTGTTTGTTTGTTTTATTAAAACAATACAAAATTTACGGTAATTTAAAGGCCACGTTTGGGACCGATATTACATCGGGTTGTATGCGTTGGCGGTATATATTTCATTCTCGGATCAATTGAGGCAATACTTAGGATTTATAAGGTATTGTTGGACTTTAGTTTAGTTGAATAGTTGTTAATCAAATTGTTTTTTTTTGTGTTGCTTTTGATCCAAATTTCAGCCAAAGACCGATCCGACTAACCAGACACTGATGGCTGGCATACCGTTAGCCGTATTGGATTCAGTAATCTGTTGGTGGGTTTTCAGTAGTTTAGTTCAAACAACAAGAATATTACGATTGAGACGTAATGTTGTTAAACTAAATCTTTACAAACAATTTACAAATACATTAATATTTGCAGTCTTAGGTAAAAAAAAATTTTTTTTTAATTGTTTTATTTTATTTAATTATCCAATTATTAAGTTATTTATATATATATATATAGTATATAGTATATACAGCATATTTAGTAATTACTAAAAAAATTACTGATTTAATTGATTTAATTGTTATTAGCATCAATTATATTCATGATTTGGCAAATTCATAATGTAAGTAATAATTTTTATTACAAAATCTATATATATATATAAAGTTAAAATTTATAAGTATTGTTTGTAATGTAAAAATTAAATAATATATATAATTTTTATATATATATATAAAATTTAGCATAAATTAACACAATGTCTAAACGATTGGACATTTTTATGGTTTGACGAAGCCTTTTGGCACATACTGTTCTCAGCTGTACTGTTAGTGATAATGATTTTGTGGAGACCGACAAACAATAATCAACGGTTTGTCCCCCCGTCCCCCCCCCCCCCCCAGTGTTTACCGATAATTAAAATAATTAAAAAATCAAAAATTGTTATTAATTTATTAGATACGCATTCACACCGCTATTGGACGCCAGTGAGGACGAGGATGAGGAACAGTATCATCAGATACCTCACGAAGCTTTCGGTAAAAAAAAATGATTACCGGTACCCCCTCCCTCCCTATCCTCCACCCACACCCACCCCGATATATTTGATCGGATTATTATAGACACTAACTGATTGATTAATTGGATTTTTTGTTTGTTTGTTGTAATTATCCAAATACTTCAGATGGTATGAAAATGAGAGGCAAAAATGGTACACATTTTGAGACCAACGACAACAATAGCAACAGCAACGACATTAGCAAAGAAACTGAAGACAATCTTAAATGGATTGAAGCAAACATACCGACCTCTATGATTGATAATGCATTGCCAGCGCTGATTGATTCCGACGAAGAGATAATGACCACACATTTGGAAATGAATAAAATGGAGTGAAATTTAAAAAATTTAAAAAAAACACAAAAAACGAAAACAACAAAAAACTAAAAACCATTATATAATTTATTTATAAATTAAACAAAAATTCATATATTTTTATTATTAATTTAATTATCAACAAACAAACAAACAAAAAGTCAATTTATTTTTTTTGATTTGATTTGATTTGCCATTACATTAAAGTTTGAATATCTTATTTACCGTAAGTTATTTTAGTCAAAATGATAATATAATTTATAATAATTTTTTTTAAATATTAGTTTTTTTTGTTGTGTGTGTGTGTTTATAATCTCTCATTTAAATTATGTATTGAATCAAATTTTGTTTGTGTTTGTAATCATTATTATTATAATTATGTATTTGAAAAACATTATTATTATTAGTTTTTTTTGCTATTTTTTTTGTAATCACATTCTTTAACTATTGTGTTAACATAAGAGACAACAAAAAAAAATAAGAAAATAAATTTATATAATTAAAAAACAAAAATCATTTATATATTTAAAATGATTTATTAGTATTATTATTAGTAGTATTTTTGTGGTTCAAGATATTTAGTAATTTCATTTGATTAGATCAGTCATTGATTTTTTTGGTCTTCAAATAACTGATATACTGACGAGTATTTTCAATCGCCTTAGCATTGATCTCATCGTAACAGTTGTTGTCGTTTGAATTCAGCTCTTGTTTGACATTTGCTAACCATTTCATAATATTAGTCCATTGATCCAGACTGTAGTCAATTGGTTCCAGTAGTGTCAGACCGGCTGCCATCGATATGTCGGCCACTGTTAACTGGTCGTAGCCGTTGCCACTGCAAACAAATCCATGTTTACCGCCGCCGCCGCCTTCACCGCCGCCGAGTATTGAATCAAACAGATCCAGTGTTTCCTTTAATTTTATATGTTTCGCTTCCTCCAGTTCTCCGCCAAAAAATATCGGACCCTTTCAAACAACAACAACAACAAAAATAAAGTTTTTTATATATTTATATATATTTTTTAAAATGGTTTAAATTATACACAAAAAAATCAATCAATCAATTATTACCACATAATCGGTGATAGACTTGTACAGTGTTGCCAAATCAAACTGCAAAAACTGGTCGATTGTTGCCCGAGTTTGTACGGCCACAGGATATAGTGGATGATTCGGTCGATATTTGTTGACCAAATAGGTAACAATTGCCCGACTTTCCCATAGTTTGAAACCATTGCCACCGTTGCCGTCGCCGCCGTCGCCATCCTTATCGACCAGAGTCGGTACCAGACGGCATGGATTCATTTGGGCAAACTCCTGGGTCAGGTGTTCATCTTTGGTCAGATCGATACTATGTAGGGTCAACTGGATGTCCAATTGTTTGGCGACCATCAATACCGTACGACACGGCGGACTTTCCAACATATAGTATAAATTGATTGGCATTTTGTTTTCTCGCGTGGGTGGGTGGGTGTGGTTGTTGTAGTGGTTAATAGTGATGATTCAAAATTATTTTACTGATCTGTGGATCAATTATTACAATAATAAAATTATTTTTTTTAAAAAAAAATATCAAATTTTTTTTTGTTGGTTTTATATTACAGTGTATTTTAATATCAAGTGTCGAAGTTTTATAAGTAGTAGTAGTAGTTGTAATAGTATTTTATATGACTAACAATTAGATTCAATTACCAACCAACAACCAACAAAAAAAACTACATGTGCTCTCCGTAAAGTTTTAACCAATTATTTAATTATTTTTTATGTTTCAACAACGCTCCAGGGGTGTCCAAGGTTATCTATTTATTTTGTGTTGTTGGGTTGAAACCATTAATCAAATGGCCAGGTATTTTTTTTTAAAAAAGGTCTAAGCTGTATAGGCAAGGTATATCATATATATATATATATATATACAGGTAATATCCATATAAATTATATAATATGACTATATATATATATATATATATATATATATATATATATACAAACATACGGAATAATGACAAATACAATATACAGAATATTCTTTATATCGAAAAAAAATTATAGCAAAATATAAAATTATATATATATATATATATATATATCATAGTAAATATAATTAAATAATTAAAAAAATTAAAAAAATTATTAATAAGTTACCATTGATCATCATATACAGTAGTATATTTGTGCCGGCTCACTATGAGAAATACAACCACAAAAAAACTGGTTTAAGTAGTTATCGCCCAAAAAAACAAAATTTTTGTCGCAATATATGCTTTACAGTGAAGTGAATATAACAACCCTTAACATTAAAATTCATGTAATAGTATTGTGTATTACTTATACAGTAGATGTCATTACTATATACACTACTGTATTAATGACTGATTGCGTGTCTATTATGTACTCAATTTCAGCGCTACTATTAATTGAGCGCCAATTCAATTGAAGTACTGTATTACAGTATACAGTATACAGGGTTGGAAAAATACAAGATTTTCAATTTTAGGACTTTGTAAAATACTTTTTTGAGGTTTTTTTTTGAATAAATTACCATGTACAGATTTTGAGAAATTTAATTTTTAAAATGTAACAAGCCTACGAGCCACCAAGATACAGTGTACTAGATGTATTTTACAATTATTATAGAAAAATTACATTAACAATGATAAAATATTTATATTTTTTATTATTAAAATTATTATTAGTAGTACATAATTTCAATATCGTTATTATAGAATCGTTGTTTTCTAAAAAACTAATAAAAATTAATATTAATTATTTTATTAATATATTTCAATACCAGAATTAAATTTGAATAGCTAATTTTTTTTAAAATAAAAAATAATAATTATTATTATTACAAAACATGTGCTTGTTTGTGAATTTTAGTATTTTTGTTATTAGGTGGCGCTAAAATTTTTGTCATGTAATTTACATTGTATTATACTGTAAAATACGCTTTGTATTATACATATACACTTTGTCTCTGCCAACACTGATACTTATATATATACTATACTTATTTTTTTGTAGCTATTTATTCAATGCATTGCATTATTTCCAATATGTATTGTATTATATTGTATTAAATACTTATAAATACAATATAAGTTATATTATATAACTATTTAAAAAAAAAAAATAATAAAAATATTTATTATTAAAAAAATAACTCAACAATCATTTCAATCAGTTTTTTGTTTAATTATTATTATTTATATGATATTTAATGCGTTTATTTTGCGCTCATTTTTTTTCACCCATTGGTTTCATTAGTTATTATTTTATTTATTATTATTTTTTGTGTCAAAAAAAAACATTTTACGTTATATTTTGTTTATTTATAACTTATTTATTAAATAATTAAAACTATAAAAAAACGTTTTGTTTGTTTTGGTTTTTTTAAGAGTTTTTATTGTAGTTTTAATTGTAATCTAATTTTATTTTTTTATCGTTAGTGTTATTGTTTGTGTGATTTACCCGTCGGTGTGTGTTTCGGGTGACCATTTCGGTTGTGGTAATGTTGTTGTTGACCATTAAGTGTTAACCAGTTGTCTTATATATAAGAGAAGTTGGCCTCAAGTTATCGCAGCCGTCATCGCCGCGACGCGCGTTGTTGTTGACCACCGATTGATTTGATCGCCAATTGTACCACCGATTGATTTTTACCGCCAATTGTACCACCGATTGATTTGACCGCCGATTGTACTACCGATTGATTTGACCGCCGATTGTACCACCAATTGATTTGACCGCCGATTGTACCACCAATTGATTTGACCGCCGATTGTTGTTGATGATCATTGCCATCATTACTCATCCGCGTCGTCGTCGTCATTGATATCGTGTCCGCCATCACTGACCATAACCATCATCAGCTCTCCATCGGACACCATCGGATCCATCAGATATTATGCCACTGTTAGGTAGAGAACCGTTTGTCCCGAAAGACCTGCCCATAAATCTCGATCCCGAAGATGAAGTCTTCTACTGTAAGACAAGCGGTGAAGCTTTCCTTACATACGAGTAATAATAATAAATTATATATTTACCGATTTATTGTCTCCCGATTATTGTGACCAAATGTATGACCAATTATTTGTTTTATTCAGCGAATTCAGTAACCGTCAGCTCCAGTTGACGTCAATGGTCTGGACCTGTGAGGTCACCGGTCGTCAGGGTCTGACATTTGCCGAAGCAGTGGAATCCGAGCGTAAAGGTCACGAAATGTTGGCCACATTTCCCGCTGGTATTAAGATTCCCTCATTGTTTCTGATGAGATATCTGTGCGAAACCAATATCAACGCTATTGTCGATAAAATCTATGCCTTTATCAACAATCGGTATTTCATTGCCGAAGACATTGAGATTATTATTCATTCAAAAAAGTAATTTTTATTTTTAATTGTTATTAAGTTATCAAATCAATCGATTGATTGATTGATTTGTTTTTATTAGTTTTTGTTGTTGTCTTTTAACACCTTTTTTGTTATGTTTTTTTCCGCAGACGAATAAAGGGACGGGTGTTTCGGGTAATAGCGCCGACCGATGCACAGGTCAAGGCCGACAAACGCAAAAGCAATCAACCGAAACAGTTTGTCGGACTCAGTGCCTCGCTCTACAGGTACGAGATTATCGATTGCGATAAAAAGCGGCAAATTCTGGCCGCCGGCCGAATAGTACGATCGAAAAATTCGTTAACTAAGGACAGGTTGAAAATGTTTCTGAAACGACACCTGAATCCGTCCACACGTACCGATCCGTGGACACTGAAAGATTCGTCGGTCAGAGAGTTCAATCTGATGTCCATCTACTGGAACAACATATTTGCCGGACCAGTACCGCGATTTATGAGCGACTCGACACTAGTGGTCAACGGTAGTATCACAACAACCATTGCCAGTAAGGAAATGATGGCCAAATTGAAGATTTTGGCCAAAGCTGATAAATTGGCGCCCAATGTGGACAAAAAATTGGGACCAAAAGTAGATAAATTGGTGATCAAAGTCAAGGAAACGAAAGAAGAGCGTCGAGATCGTGAACGTCGCCAGCGATTAGCGCAGAAAGAGTTGGAAAAACAAAAGAAACGCCAGTTCGACGAAGATATGAAACTGTGGAACACTAAACGCGATGACTTGGCCTGCGATGACCTGCAGCCGCTACCCGAACCGATACCCGTTAACTGCAAAATACCGGTTGAATTGTTTGCCGATTCTGTGTTCGTAATGGAATTTCTTAGTATTTTCAAAGATATGTTCAATTTGAAGTCCATCTTTCCGATGGGCTCACCATGGAATTCATTCGAACTTATGGAACAGATTCTTGTCGATGTCAACATTTACGGTCCGTTTGTCGATCTATTAAAAGTGTTAATCTCGACAAACTTGACACTACTCGAGGATGAAGGAGACGACAGTACTCATAGCAGTTCCAACAACAATAACAACCACAACAAACGTAAGAACGATTTGAGTGACGACGACGACGAAGACATACCGTTTGGTGGCGACAACAACGACAAAGATTTTTTCGATGAAACAGTTGACAAGAAAAACGCTGTCTATTACTATCATTGGATACAAAATCATTTCGGTGTTCAACTATCCGAACTGAATATCGATTCGTTTAACATTACCGAAGTGTTACGCTTGCATCTGCTATCGTCGGGCGGCGGACCGCAACCTAAATCCAAATATCGTGGCCTATATTCTCCTCGCGAAGATCCGAGCATTGAATTTGTTGCCGAAAACGATGAAATCATGAAAAAACTCGAATCGGAAACTATTTTCGATTTAACAGCTGATGAACGGTTGAAAATATTTTCCGTTTTGATTCATCAATTGTTGACGTATTTTGAATTTCGCGACAAAATCGAAGACGCGTCCGACGAAGTGTCCAAACTGTGGGGTAAAATCCGTCGAATTCAGATGGATTCGAACAAATGGATTAAAGATAATTCATTGAAACGATTGCCGATCAAAGAACTAAACAATAGTAGTAGTAGTATAAAGAAAAAGTCTTTAGCACAACAAAAATCACAACAATCAGCGGTTCCAACAGCGAGACAGTTGAATATATATAGCAAAGAAAAGTCAGAAATGGAATCCGAAACGAACGAAAAGTTGGCCGAAGTTCGGAAAGCTATACTCAAACTGCAAGCCTGCTATCGGCTGAAACCGATTGGTTCGGATCGGGCGTACAGAAAATATTGGATCTTCCAATCGCTTCCCGGTTTGTTTGTCGAACGACTGACGCCCGACACTCGTTACACAAATCAACCGTACGGTCCATGTCTTCCCGAACCGACGCCCAGCCGATCAGTGAAACCCATGTATGACTCGGCCGCCGCCACCACCACCCCTGCCTTCGATGACAGCTGTGATACATTGCAGACCAGTCTACGCGATGACACCTCGACCACCAGCGATAAAGAAAACGACTCGAAGATCACTAGCGATGATCACAATCAGGAACAGCTAAGTGTTGTCGTCCGCAAAGATAATCAAAGACTATCGGATTTAGACAGATGTACTGCTAATATAAACACTTGTTGTGTTCACGGAATGGCTGCCAATAATGGTGTCAACGAATGGTCGTTCTATTCTTCAGTAGAACAGCTAAACGATTTGATTGCGTCGCTTAACAGTAGAGGTCATCGGGAAAGTTCGTTACGATCGACATTGAATCTCAACAGTGAATGGTTAAAGAGATTTATCCGACACTGTCCGGTCCATCAGCTGAATAAAGATATTGAACAACAGCCGCCAGAACAAAGTGGTGGTCGCCGATCGCAAAGAGGAGTACAACACGTATTGCGTAAATACCACAAAAACCAATTGATTCCCGACGATGGTGTCTCATTGTCGTCGTCGCACAGCGATCTCAAGATCAGACTGTTCAAAGACTATCTGCTGACACTGGAAGAGCATGCGTTTGCCGCCAGTCTGGCAGTCGAGTCCGATCAGATGACCAGAGATGAATGGCGTCAATTGGTTGTTACCGATTCGCCGTCGCCGACGGCTGACGGTGTCCTCAAGCGACTAATCCGAGCGATTCTAGTACTTCGACAATGTGTACGACCAATGTGTTTGTCGGATCTGTTTTCAGCTGATAGTTCCACTTATACGAATTGGTTCCAAAGTCTGTCGGAGTGTACCAGCGTTTCCCAGCTATACATTCACGTATGGGTTTTCGAACAGAACATTAAATGGTCAAAATCGGCATCGAATGCCTACTGTAAGCTGTGTCGGCGTAAACAAGACGACGAAAATATGCTACTATGCGACCGATGCAATCGCGGACATCATATCTACTGTCTTCAGCCGCCACTGGAAACGATTCCCGTCGGCGAATGGCTGTGTCCTGATTGTAGTCCAAAATTTCGACCCCAAAGTCCAAAGAAACAAAAGCTAACCACCGAATCAGTACCGAGTGGTGATGATAGTGAAGATACCGGTGATTACGATGATAATGATGATGACGACAATGACTGTACGGAAATTGATGACAGATCGCAGACTAGTAGTGACGAGGAAGACGATGATGAACAAGAAGAAGAAGAATCGGCAGCAGATTTACCACAAAAATGTGACAAATGTCTGGCAACTGATTCTGATGTTAAATTAGTTTGCGATAAGTGTCGCCATTACTATCATCAGGAGTGCGTGATTGGTGTCAATCAACGAATTACAAGAAGCAAATGGTTGTGCAAAAACTGTTCACTACTCGATGTTGTCATCAATGATGGATCCAATGATAAGAAACGCAAACAACAACAACAGCCACTGGTCACCGATATGAACAACGACTCTTCACTTAATAATAATAATTCTGATTACTTGTCTCAACGGCCGAAAAGAGTTTGTCGACAACAATCGCTACCTCAGACGGAATCATCTGTTTGTCCAAAAACTGGTCGAAAATCTGACCAAACATTTACCAAAATGAAAACTCAACAAACAAAAGATACTTCCAATAATAATAATAATAATCGGCAATCATTGCCAACAAATGATGGCCATCACCACCACCACCACGACTACCAACAGCGGCGGTCGTTACGATTAAGTGACAACAACAACAACCAAAAGAGTTCCAATAGTCGGTCCAATAGAAAATCAACGACAACAACAACAACGACGAGGACGGCGGTGGCGGCCGCAGCGGGAGGTTGTGATTATGCGCTGTGCGATGAAATACTTAAGAAATTGGACAATCATTCAGGAAGTTGTCTATTGAAGAGAAGAGCAATTATGGTTAGTTAGTGGTGATGATGATGACGATGATCATCACCAACAGCAACAACAACAACAACTTACAAATCTTTTATTTTTAATATTTATTTAATAGCAACCAAAACGAAGCCGAATGCAAGATAAACCACAGATGAATTTGAACGACTTGGGCGCCAATCTTAGGCTACGAACCTATACATCGAATGCCCACTTCTTAAAAGATGTAATATATTATTATTATTAATATTATTATCACTCATAATCTGATCCACTAATTAATTAATGTTTGTTTGTTTGTGTTATCACCTGTAACCCCCCCCCCACCCCATCCCCTTAGGTATTACTAATGGTAAATCGTGCCAAATATGTCAACTCGTTTACCGCTCGCGAATACGAATTGTTTCAATCGTTTCAAAAGTTTGCCGAAACACTGGTCAGACGTGATTTGGGCTCTAAATAGTTTAGGGACCGAACTTTACATTAGGTCCACTGTTTTGAATATTACCGATAGTTTAACGGTTTTATACAACAGTACAGTATATCTATTATGTATAACAATATATATACAAAATATTTTCGATATAACGGGTCATAATTGATGCACACATTTACCAGTATATACTCTATTATTATTATTATTATTATCTAATAATTGTTATATTAAATTTGCATGGATTCATATATCTATATATATATATATTTTGTTGATAACTGTTAAAATATTATATATATATATATATATATACAGTTAATTATTACTGATTATTAGGCTTTCAAAACACACACACACACATTGAGATCAATATATTTTCATAACTCATTTATTATTATTATTATTACGTAATTATTAATTTAAATTGCTTGTATTTATAATAATAAATTATTATCAAATTATATATTCACTGTTAACACTATTAATAATACTACTACTAATAATTATTAACTATTTTAAAATTAAACTTTTCATTTGTATAGAAAAATAATATTTAGTTAACTATTTAAAAAAAAAAATAAATATATCCTATTATATAATATATACTTTATAAATGTCAATGATTTTTATTATATAGAAAGTTATTTATAATTTTTTTTAAATACAAATGAAATGGTAACCAAAAAAAACAAACAAACAAAAAACTATTGGATCAATTGGGTCGGACACTCAAAAATCCGGATGTATTTGAAAAGTATTTGGCATTAGCCTCGTTGACTTTGGTTTCGGCCGCCTGCGGATTGACAATCTCCAGGCCCTGCAGAGGTGTAAAGGCCACCGACGATGCCGTTCCCGATACTTGTTTGCGGACAGTAGTACTGCCGCCGTACGACTGCTGTTTCTGTAAGTTCTTGTGCAGTGTCTTCGATATGCGTACTTTAGTTTTTTCGTCGACAGCCGGACCACGTATCTTACCGGTTCCCGATCGGCCCATTTGGCCAGTCGTAAAGCCGAGATCGTCCTGATAGGCGTCGTCTTCAATGTCGCCGAATGTCATACGATTGGCCTGTTTGCGCAAATCGGTAATCACTAGACGTTCCTTTAGCTTACGGATACGTTTGCCGCCTCGCTTTTTCTGCGGCTGATCTATCGGTGTGGCCAACGGCTTGACCTGTTTGACCGGTGGCGGTTCCTGTAATTTATCCAGTTGGCGTTCAATTTTCTCCCGATACTGGCGACCAATCGAACCATCAGTGGCTGCATGCGAGGCGTCTACTCGGGCAGCTATCGTACACTTGTTGGCCACCAGTCGGGCAGCTTTCCGGCGTAAATCGGGCGGCGATATCTGTACCAAATCGGTCAGAAATACGAAACCCGTGTGCGGCATAATGGCTGTCGACGAAAAACCGGCCAAAGTTCGCCGTTCGGAGCCCAACACTTCCAGATTGCACGACGGCATCTTCGATAGATTGGTCAGACCGCCGGCCAAACCCATTAGTTTGGCGGCAATGGATGCGCCGGCAATTGCCGACAAATTCGGCGCAATGAACGTCATCCTTGATTCGACAAACTCGTAGATCTTTAGTTTGCTTTGATTCAGATCGACAGCTATATCGCAGGCTTCGTAAATGTTGGCCAATTCATCGTCGGTTAGCTGTTGGCCTTGAGTGGTGGATGCCGTTACCGATACGACCATAATAGTGGCCTGAGTTAGAAACTGTTGCATAACTTCGCTGGTCTTGGCTTTGTAGAGATCGTTACCCAACTCTTTGACTGTCATCAGATACTCGAGAGCCGACTGGACCAGCGATTCCAACTCCGGGAAACGTTTGGCGTACTTATCCCTAACAAACTTATGGATAACCGTAATATCGTTGTCAATCTCGACGGCCATATTGTTGGCGTCGACTATAAGCTTGTATTCGGGATGCGATTCGACCGGACCGTCGATCTGACACTTGCGGCCCAATGCCGACCCTTCTTGCGACAACTGTTTGGCCCGTATTTCCGACATAACTGTTGCCAACTCTTCGCTGTCGACCAGTTTGGCCAACGACCGGACCGATGTATACTGTGTCTGAGTGGTCGGTCCGCTACCGCTGCCGTCCGTTTCCATCGGTGTTTCGCCACCGCTACCGCCGTTGGCCGCCATCCTAGCCGTCAGTTCCATGTCGTCCACGTCGTCATCGCCGCCCTCCAAGTCGGCCAACAATTCATCGGCTAAAGACATGGCCGGCTGGTCGTAGTTGTCTTCACACACACGCGCGCGGGTTTTGCGCGGTCAACACTATAGTCTTATTATAAGCGCGTAAATTGATTGCTAACACGTGTGTAGACACACACACACACACACACACAACACGTGTTTTTAATATCAAATCAATTGACAATAAAATCAATTATAAACTTAATGTTTGTTTTAATTGAATTTTGTTTTTGTTTTGTAAAACATTAGCCAAACGTTTGTTTGTTTGTTGTTTGGATTGATTGACAACACAAACACATTGTGTTTATTATTATTTAATATTATTATTATTATTACAGTAATGTTGTACACAAATAATGTATTAATAATAATAATACTGTAATACCTATTGATTGCTATTACAGTAATAAAAAAATAAATGATTTATTTTATTTTTGGTGCAAAAAAAAAGTCTCAATTATTATTATCTATTTATATAACTATTATTATTATTATAGTATTTCTATAAATGTATATATATTATTTGATTATATTATTTAATAAATTATTTATTTAAAACATTTATTTAATTATCGTTTTTTTTATTTGTCATATTTTTTTTATTTGTTTAAATCAATTTTTATTTAGATTATATTTATTTTTCTAATACATACTACAGTATAAACCAATAATATTAATATTTAATGTATTAATTTAGGTTTGGCTTTTATTTTTTTAATATAAATTTTATTTTATTATATCTATTGGGTTTTTTTAGGTCAACGATATATTATTATTATTATTTGTATGTTTTATAATTTAGAAAAATAAAAATAATTTTTTATTACTATATTATTAGTATTAAATAATTATGAAAATAAATAAATATTTTTATCTAAACAATTCTGTTGTTATCTATATTTATATTTTTATTGATTATTTTTAGTTTTTATTTTTTTAAAAAATAAATAAAATAAAAATATTTTTGATATATATATATATACACGTAATCTTTAGTTTCGTATTCATTATTATTATTATTATTATTATTATCATAATATCTTTAATCCTATTTTTTAAAAACCTTTTTTTTAATAAAAAAAATGCAATAATAAAAATTATTTGGTTATAACTCTATTATATTAATAGATATATAGTATATAAGTAGCTCTTATCTCATTGAATATTATATAATTTTATCCCAAATATATTTTATAGTGTGATTTTACTTTAATATATTTATATATAAATTTATATAATATTTATATAATCGTAAAATAAATTTTTAAAAGATATATATATATATATATATATTTATTCATATCTATATTGAAAATCTAAATTATAAAATTTTTGTTAAACAGGATTTTAGTTTATTTATTTTATTTTTTTTTTGTTTAATAAAAATAAACCATTATTTAAATTATGTTTATATTATGAAAATTATGGTAGATATTCACTGTACAGTAAATAATGCATAAATTTATTTGAATTTTTGTATATACAATATAATATAAATACAGTTTATTATTTTTATTAAACATATGTTTAGTATATATATATATTTAAATTATATGGTATTAAAGTAAAGTTTTATTTAGTCTGTATATTGTATAATATATAATAAATTTAATATACAGTATAATAGACAGTACTGTACTGTAGTATATAATAAAATAAAACATCTAATTGTCTTTGACTTATAAAAATTATAAATAAATAAAACGGGTATATATATATATATATACAGTATAAATAATTCATACTAATATAAAAACACACACACACACACACCTACTTATTATAATGCTTTCAAATATATATATATGTATTTATTTAAACATTTTTAATGTGCAATTATTTGACACACAAACAAACATACATACAGAGAGAGAGAGAGAGAGAGAGAGAGAGAGAGAGAGAGAGAGACTAATAAATTTATTAAAACATGTTATTTAAGAAAAACTAAAAATATGTGTTATTTTTATGTGTGTTTTTCTCTATATACAGTATTAATATGATTGACATTAACTTATTTTATTATATAAACATATTTCCAGTATTACTCTATATATATATATATATACTGCTGTTTTTATACCTTTGTATATAATTTATATCATATATTCAAGCAATTCATATATATATATAAAATCAAACGTTTGATTAATCAATTATTTAAACACTGCACATCTATATATTTTGAAAAAAAAGTTTATAAATATCTAAAAACATAACTATTATTATTATAATTTTTATTATAGTCAAGCGTACTATTGTGTTGCATATAAATAATATTTTACACTATGTGTGTCTATGTGTTTGTATGTAATATCAATGTCTATATTATACAGCTTACGTACAGTATTACTATATATATATATATAAATTGTGAATATACTGTACATTAAAAACTATTTTATATACATATATATAGAGAGAGAACTATATTATACAGAATATTCTGTATATAAATTTAGAGAGATAAAGAATATTCTTATATATATATACCTTATATACAGTCAGTGTACAGTCAATAGTATTATACATACAGAATAAGTAGAGCTTATCATAGAATATCGCTATATATACTGTATATATATATATATATATATATATATATATATATATATATATATATATATATAGAGAGAGAGAGAGAGAGAGAGAGAGAGAGAGAGAGAGAGAGAGAGAGAGCATAATATACAGTATAAATTAAATGCAATAATATTTTGTTCCCTTTTCATATAGCATATTAGATTCGTACATACAGTGTATTCATACAATTGCAGTACAATAGCATAAAAAGGGTCCATATATATAGTTATATATTCCTATGGGGAAAAAGGTGTATACACTGTGTGTACTGTACTATGTGTTTGCATTACAAGTGCTGTACTAAAAGAGAGAGAGAGAGAGAGATAGAGTAAGAGAGAAGGAGAGAGAGTAAGAGAGAGAGAGAGAGAGAGAGAGAGAGAGAGAGAGAGAGAGAAACAGGGAGAGAGAGAGAGAAACAGAGAGAGAGAGAGAGAGTAACAGAGAGAGAGAGAGAGAGAGAGAGAGAGAGAAGACAGAGAGAGAGAGAGAGAAACAGAGAGAAAGTAAGAGAGAGAGAGAGAGAGAGAGAGAGAGAGAGAGAGAGAGAGAGAGAGAGAGAGAGAGAGAGAGAGAGAGAGAGAGAGAGAGAGAGAGAGAGAGATAAACAGAGAGAGAGTAAGAGAGAGAGAGAGAGTAACAGAGAGAGAGAGAGAGAGAGTAACAGAGAGAGAGAGAGAGAGAGAGAGAGAGATAGGCATTGATTTTGTGTTTAGACTGCCTTTCCCTCTAAAATACTGTGTAATACTAATGATTGATATAAACTGACTGTTTGTTTGTTTTCTACTGTAGTGTTGTGTTTGCAAATCGATGCACAAAATAAATGCTTAAAAAACTGTTTATTATTATTATTATTATACAGTAGTGACTGTTATTATTATTATTATCATATATGATGTGTTGACTGTATATGTTTTGATTATTAATTATTATTTTTATTTTCTTAAATATAATAATAATAATAATAATAAGGATATGTTTATTATATATATAATATACACAACATGTTTATAATGTAATTACTATTAATTACATTATAATATGAGTTAATAGATATATCAAACAGTGATTTACTTATAATATTAATAATAATTATTATAATATATTATAGTAATTGCAATCAAAATAATAATAGTAATGTTTTTTATTTGTTGTAATGTTTTTTTTTCAAAGCATTTTCTATAGCGATATATTTAATGGCTCAACAAATGTTTAAATTAAATGTTTAATTATAATTAATTAAAATTGATTTTTTTTGGTGTTTAATTTATACAATTAATTGTTTGTTTTTTCAGTCAATTTTTTAAAAAATTATTATTTTTTTTATATTTAATTAAATTAATAATAAAGTCATCGATTGGTTGATTGATTAGTGATTTTATGGCAAAAAAAACAATATATGATATCCTATGCTATGAAATGATAACATATTTAAAATTGTGATTATAATCAATGCGATTATTATTATTATCGACGGGTGTATACTATAGTATCAAGTGATTGGTGGCCACCACTTGTTGGTCAACAACAACAACAACATCAACAACAAGTGTTAAGACTGGCGACCGACGAGTGTTTGATGAGATCTGATAACCGGTTGTTCCGAAGATATCTGAACTGAAGAGAGAGAGAGAGAGAGAGACCAGAATATGACGTCAAACAATGGCCAGCAATGCAGTGGTGCCGTCGGCGGCAGCGGAGAGCCGATAGTACGGCCAAAAGGATCGTACGCTTCGAAACAGAAACGATTCGGTGCGGCGCCGTTGGCCTCGTTTGAAGACTTGCCCAGCGATGACCAAATCAGTCCCGACGACGACGACGACGACAATGACGAAGAGTTTGTTTGCGATCCACTCGATGGTCATCCGACGGTATTGGATTTGGACAGCAGTCAGCTACTGATGCAGAACCGACGGTCCGATAACAGTAATACTAGTCCGGCGCTGAGTCCGACACTGACGATAACGCCGACCAGCGGCGGCGGTGGCGGCGAACGCAAAGCCAGTTATAGTCTGTCGCAAAATACGCTGACCGATGATGGCGGCAGCGGTTCTGTAACACCGGTGGCCGCCAGCGGCGGCGGCGTCGGCAATTCCGAGTCATTGTTGAGCATTGGTAGTCAACACCGGCCCGCAACCGGCGGTTCGCACGGCTCGTTGCTTACTGTTCCCGATGGCGCCGATGGTTCTAAGTCGCCGACAACACCCGATTCGAAACGCAAGAGTTCGTGGACCGACATATTCTTTGCCGGTCGGGGCGGTCGTACCCGAAGCAAGTCTACGTCCAGTTCCCCGCGCAAGAGTCCGACGACTTCAGGCGAACGCAAGAAAAGTGTTTTCGCAAAATTCATTAGTTTCGGTCGAAAATCGCCGTCGCGGACATCGATCTCAGCCGATACTACAACACAAAGTGGCGAACAGTCATCGGCCATAGAGTTGTCGTCCACTGGTGGCGGTGTAGATACACCGAGAGTGTCGGTAACCGATACCAGCGAAAACGAACCGAACGAAGAACTGATGATCGGTTCGCCAATCAATGAACCGGAAGCGTCCGAACAGGACATTATCGGTATCATCGAAGCGGCGGCCAGTAATCAGCTGATGATTTCGACACCAGTAGACGCCAGTGGACCAGATGCTGAACCATCGCTAATTTCAGTGCCATTACCGCCGCTTAATTTGAGAAAAAAATTGAAACGCCGCCAATCGACCATCGATGACGATGTACAGAGTTTGCCAGAAATACTTCCCAGTAGTCGATCCAATAGACAATTGATTTCTCAAAATTTAGCCAATAATAATAATGATAGTCATAATAATAATGATAATAATACGGAAACAGTTGTCGTCCAAATTGAATCCTCTGCCAAATACGAGGACAACTCTTCCGAATCGGAGATAGGATTTGATGAAAGCAAACTCAAAGCCAATAATAATACTAATAATAATAAGGAATCAAAGCAATCAAATGGCAAAAGTCTATCAGAAAGTGAAGACGACTTCGAAGCCCAGAATCTGTTGCTGTCGTCCACTCAGGAAGACTACGACGAAAGTTCCAATAGTAGTGAACAACAGCTATTCGGTTCAACAAATCTGTCGCTACTATCGCCGACAACGGCCTCAGCGGCAGCCGCTTGTCAGCTAATAGAATCAATCAGATCGCCGACACGTAAGGAACGACTGGAAGTGCTAACCATACCGATTGAACGGCCGCGAAGTACAACACCGATAAACATTGTACCGCTCGAAGCCTACATAAGTTCGAGTTGTACGTCACCGGATCCGTCGGTCGAAAAGATTAAACTGTCGCTTCCGGGCGAACAGTTTACCGCATCGGCCCGGGCCAAGAGTCCCCGAAAGTCTAACCCGTCGATTTGGTTCGAGTTTTGCGAAAAAGGTCTCCAGAGTCCGTTGCAACGGCGCAAACAACGGGCCAACAGTTGTTTTCCCAGTGTTGACAGCACTACTTCACCTCAACAACAACTACAACCTAATACGCCGTCGTTTTTGAATAACAATTCAAACTTTGACGCCTTCTCTTCGTCTGTGGTCTCAGTTAACAATCCGTTAACATTGTCGCCATCGCCGGGCAATTTGACACCAGTTACGCCATTGGAAGGCTACGGCGGTGATACTAAATGGCCGGGTTTTGGCGACAATTTTGTCAATTATGATACATTTTTTTCGAATAATTTTACCGACGGTGGCGGCGGCGGTGGTCTCGGTGTCGACAAGTTTTTGTGTAAATGTGAGTGCAATACAAACAACAATACCAACAACTCGAGTGCTAATACCTGTGCCGTTGATGAACAACAACAACAACCAGACCAACAAATACTACTTCAACAACAACAACAACAGCCGGTGAGCGCATCCAATGAGATGATGATGAGCTTCTCGATTGGCGACGAACAGTGTTTCAACAACAACAACAACAACAAGAGTAGCATCGCTTCGTCAAACAATACGACCACAACATCCACCAATCGTGACCACGAATTCATGGAAGACCAGCCGCTGGTCAGTCCGTGTCATTGTCTGTGCCATCGGCGGGCAGACTTTGCCTTAACTCTATGGCGTAGTTCGTCGTTCAACAAACAAGAGAGCGTCTCATCAGATATATCGTCGGCCTCTTCACGCCTTATCGGTTCCAGTTCTCATTCATCTAAGTGTTCGCCATCTGATGATATTATCGAGTCTATCAACTCTTGAGTTGTCATTTATTATCATCAACAACATCGGTAATCATCACACACTATACACACACACACACACACACACACCACGCAAACGCGCGTACGATATACAGTACATAAACTCACTCACACACACACACACACTTACACGTGCAACACGTGTTTCTTGTGGTACTACTAACTAATAAATTACATATTTTTTGGCCACAATTTCTATCAATTAAAAAATCAAACGAATTAAGCTTAAGATGTAAGTGTTTTTTTTAAAATATCAATTATATATATATATATATATAAGATATTATATGATAATTACATGTAATTTATTAAATATCTAAAAAAATTTAAATAATTGATATTATGATTGTTATTATGGTATGTGTGTGTGTGTGTGTGTGTGTGTGTGTCCATCACATGTGATTTAAGTACAAAATCTTGATTTTTTTGTTGTTGTTGAAGATATATATATGTCGTTCCCCTTTATTAAGCCATTAAATTATTATTAATATTATTATAATTGATATTTAATTTTAAAACAAAACCAAAACAAAATCTATAATTGATTGATTGAAATCCTGTGCCTCCAAACCAATTGATATACTATTTATTTATTAAGATATTATATATATATATCACTAACTGATTATCTATAACTGTTACCCTAATTACTGGTAAACACTAAATAGTATACTAACTATACTTTTTTTATTAAAAAAAATAAATTTTTGACTAAAACTTGAAATTGAAAAAAAGTTTGGTGTTGATGTTGTTATCATTGTTTTTTGTAATTTAAAATCAATTAATAACTCGAAATAACTCAAATATTTATGTACAAAAGTGATACATAAATTTTACATTAAATTATATGATTATAATAATAATAATAATAATTAATTTAAGGAAACAACAAATTTTTTATTGGCATACGATTAATGAAAAATTTTTTTCTTTGACAATTGATTTAAGGAATTATATATTTGACAAAAATTTAAAACATTAATTAATTAATTTGTGGAAAATAATATATATATATATAAATAAAAACTTAATTAAAAAAATATTTGCACAAATAAAATAAGAAACCAAACTTTTTTCTAATATCTATATATATAAATAGCAAATAAATTTACATAAAATTTTAAGAGAAAAACTAAATGTCAATTATATTTGAATTTTTTTGTTGTTGAAAAAAATAACTTTTTATTTGATGAGATATTTATTAATTAAATATCAAATTTATTTATAATAAATTTAATGAATGTGTTATTTGTTTTAATACAAATACATACATATAATAATAAATACAGTAAATAAATTTAAAAAAATAAACAGTAATTATTTACTCTTAAAAAATGATCGATACATTAAAATGCAGTTTTTTTTAAAAAAATAAATAAATAATTGAAACAAATTATATTAATAATAATTAAATTTATATTGATGTAAATACTAAGTTTTTTTTTTGAATACATATATTAATTTAATGATCTTTCAATGATAATAATAATAATTATTATTATATATTAACTGTATTTTTTTCATAATATTTTATTACAACAGTCAGTCAGTAGTCATGACATTAATTTATTAATAATAATTTTTTTTTGTTGAAAAATTTAATTATATATACTAATCAACTAAATTATTTCAATATATTTTGTTTGTTTGTTTGTTATAGTTTTGTTTAAATAATATCTCCAATAAAAAATAGTATTTGACAATTAGTGCCATTGAAACATGAAACATTAAAATAATAATAAATAAATAAAAATTTAGTCAAAAAAAATAATAGTTAACAATCAGATTTATTTTTAGGATTATATAATCGATGAAATAAATATATAATTATTTGTTTGTTAATTAAAATACATTAAATACAAGTATAAACTGATTATATAAAAACTTTTAAAGATTATTATTATTTAGTAAATTAAATACTACTTAAAAAAACTGCATAGTCTTAAAAAACTACATAAAACTAGATAATTAAGTTTTTTTTGTTGAAAAATTTAAATAGTTTTTAAAAAATGATGATTAATTTAAAAATAATAAAACTTTCTGTGCCAACCATTCAATTTGTATTAATTACTTTCAATTAATAATTGATTTATTGATTGATTAATTAATTAATTAACTAAATCTAGTCGTCTCTATTAATAATCATTTTTTTATATATACATACAGTCAATATTGGTATAAATGTAATAATAATAATATTATTATTATTAATAATAATATCTAAATTATATATTATTCAATTAAAAAAAAGTAGCCGGGATCAATTATAATGATATGTATATTACTTTATAAATAATAATAAATTTGTGATATTATTATTATTACTATTATTATTATTATTAAATAGTTTTCAAACTATTCAAACTGCAATTGCAAACCGAATATTAATTAATTAATTATTTGTAAAACTAAAAACTAAAATATAATATAATTTTTTTATAACAATGACTTATTATTGATTTTTTTTAAATTAACTAATTATATACAGTATATATATATCAAGCAATTTATTAATTAACTATACTTTAGTATACAGTCTATTATATAAATAAATATATATATACAGATTAATAATAATAATAATTGTTTTTTTTTGTAAAATTTACATCAATATAAATTTATTGGGGGAAAAATGCTATTAAAATAATAATTGTTATAATTATAGATTTAGATTAAAAAAAATTCTAGTTATTAGTTTAATAATATTTGTTTAATATGAAATATTTATTTAAAATAAAACAAATATAAATAACAAAATTCTATGACAAGTTATAATAATAATTATTATTATTGAAAATATAATATAAATATTATTGTATTTTTTATTTGATCTCAAAGTACACACACACACACACTCACATAAAAAAATATTTATAAATTGTATTTAAAATATAAACTAATTGTTAAATAAATTATTGTAACACACATTTTTTGTTGTTGATAGAAAAAAAAACTAATAAATAATAATAAAATGTTAGGAATAAAGCACTTTTTTTTCTATATATATATATATATATATATATATATATATAAATGTTAAAAAATATATAATTTATAAAAATTTAATAATAATAATAATAACAATAATAATAATTTCAATACATTTATATAAAACTCTAATAGTTTATTAAGTAATAACACTTAGATTATATTGTTTATGTGTTATGTAAATACAATATTTTATTTATTAGAAAAAAAAATCGTTTAAAAATCTATAAAATCGATTAATTGATTTATTACTATTTAACCAAACAAAAAATTATTTGTTATTATTATTATTATTAATGTTGTGTTTTTGTTGATTATGATGATGATGTTAAACATGACACCAATTTATAATTATTATTATTATTATAACTAGATTTATACATTACACACACACACACATAAATTTTTAATTTTTATTATAAAATACTATGATATATATATATATGCATAAAAACTAACAGAGAAAATAGATTTTTTTGTTTAAAATATTAATTATTAGTTTAAACAAAATGTTGAATCACCCAGTATAATATTTATGTTTGACATTAATATTATTATTATAATTATTAATACTATATTAGTAGAAAAAAACTCATTAATAAAAAAGTTTTTTTTGATTACTTAATAGACAGTATATGAATAGTCAATGAAAAATGATTAAATATTTATATAATTATTAGTTTTTATAACACACACATTGTTTTTTATTTTGATTATTAATTTAATGAATAATTAATTAATTAATTTTGCACTGAAAAAAAAACAAAACACATTCCACACGTTTTTTAAATAATAATAATATTTACGATAATAATAATAAATTATATGTTATTATATAATGTAATTATTATTAATTACAGTAATTATTATATATATTAATTACTATATAATTTCTAATGAATTGTGTTTTTTCAATATATATATATTTATATTATTTGTATTATTAAATTTATCAATCAATTTTGTGATCTCTCACTTCTATACTGAAATTTTAATGACTGTTTTTCATCTAAAAAAATATATATAATTAGTTTTGTTTCAAAATTTAAAAAAAAACATTATATAAATAAAACTCAGGAATTGTTTTGTTTTATTTTGTTTTTTTTGTCAATAAAAAAACTAATCTATTGTTAAGCACATACACACACACTCACAGCTATTAAATGATATATATATATATATATATAACTAAATTGTTATTAATTATTATTTAAAAAATTTACATATAATTATATTTCATTAATAAGACATTAAATAATATGTGATATATATATTAACTACTCATAAAAATTTAATAATAAAATAATAATAATAATAATCAGCATATCTCTGTTAATTTTTTTTTATATATAAGTTTATAATTTAATTTTTGTAATATTGATTAATTTGTTTATTATTATTTTTTTACTATTTAATTTACCAAAAAAAACAAAACAAACAATTTATATTAATAATCACAATTTCCAAGTAATTGCATTTATTTAACATTTTATTAATTATTATTGTTATTATTGAAACAAGCAATACTCAATATTTAATGTATAAAATAAACACACACACACACACATAAATTATATTAATTAAATATATATATTTGTTAGATTAATAATAATAATATTTACTATTATTATTATTATTATAAATCATTAATATTTACTACTATTATTATCATAATTTTATTAACATTATTACCATTTGAAATAATATTGTTGTTTATTATTATCGGAAAAAATATATATACAGTATATATATAAAAATTTTTGATTAATATTATTATTGCTATTAAAATATAAATATGTAATTTATTAATGATCTATTAATTAAAAATAAAAATTGTTTATACAATGTTATTAAAATGTTATTAATTATTTAATTAATTAATTATTAATAAATAGATTTAATTACTACTGTAGAATAGTATTGTATATATATATAATATTTAGTAAAAATTATTTAACAAATAAATAATAATTAATTAAACATTTTCTACTATTTATATACACTATATTACTGTAACTGTAAATTATATACACTGTTAGGTATACTTATGATTAACAGTTAATAAATTAATGAGGTTTTCATTCAATGTTTTAATAAACATAACATTATTTTTTCGCTGTTGTTGTTGTGAATATATATACCTGTATTTGTAATTTAGGAAATATCTGGTAAAACAACTTTACTTTTTTTTAACAGTGAACTATCTCTCTCTCTCTCTCTCTCTCTCTCTCTCTCTCTCTCTCTCTCTCTCTCTCTCTCTCTCTGTCTCTCTGTCTCTCTCTCTCTCTCTCTCTCTCTTACACTTAAAAAGTTAGTTGAAAAGCAATTAAGACATAAAATAACAGTAAAAAAATTAAAATCAAAAACAACAAAACCATTACTAAATAAATTTTTATGAAACTATGAAAAACAAGGACACGTATAGAAAACTAACAGTAAAAATAAAATAGCATTCAATTTCATATGAAATTTTTTTTCTGCAGCTAAAAGTAAAAACATAACAACAAATATCTTCACTTAATATTTATATTATTATTATTATTATTATTACTGATTTAATTCACTAAAAACTAGTTATTAAGAGTCAGTCGAAAGTTATTTATTAAATTATATTTAACAGTATTAGTGTACATACAGTAAATTATTTGGAAATTTTCTAAAAAAATAATTTATAAGTGTTTTTTGGATTTTATTTCCAGTGAAAAAATATTATTAATAATTTCGCTGAAGAAATATATCATAAAAAAAGTTTATTTTTAAATTTATTTATTTAATGGTAAACTAAATATAAATTTATATTTAAATATATATTTATATATTTACATATATTTAGTATATTTGATTAACAACAACGAAAAAACATATTTACACAACAAATGGGACAAAAAAGTTATTTAATAATTAAATTGTTGCCAAAAAAAGTTTTCTATAAAATAAATGTTAATAATAATAATAATAATAATAATAATAATAATAAATTAATTAATTGCTATAAAAAATATGTTACGAAATGCGTGTTTTGTTTAAAAGATATGTTTCAATAGTTTTATTTATATCAATAACTCTAGTCTTTCTAGTATTGAAAACAATTACATATCAGACATCAATAATTTATAACACTATTTATACCGATAATAATTTTGACGACAATTTATTAGATAATAAAAATACTTACAATAATAATAATATAGTTAGAAAAAGTGTCAATCAATCGGTTAGTATTAATAAGTCGACATACCGTTCCCCACATTGGAAACTACTATCAGACGGAACGGTAACACATTTGGGTAGTAATAATAGTAGCGATAATCCATTTGATAAGCTATCATATCATATAAGAAACGATCAAATTTGCGACAATATTATTATTAAGGATAAGATTATCATAATATTTATTGAATCCGAAACAATCAATTTTCATAGACGACTAACTATTAGGCAGACTTGGGCACAGCGACAGCTACAGAATGATCAACAGTTTAAAGTGGTATTTGTATTGGGATTGCCATCAAACAGAAAAAAAACTGATGGACATCGACATCCACATCCAGTTGAGTCCAGTACTGCTGATGACATACAGGTATGTATTACAGTATATATATATATATATATAAGGACTGTATAGTAATACCTATAATATTATCCAATATTGGGGGGGAAAAATCCATAATTTTTTTCAGATAAATTATGGATTTATTTTATATAAAAATTTTTTTTAAAGGATAAAATCAATGAAGAAAACGAAATGTTTGCAGATATCATACAAATCAATTTGGGCGAAGATTTTCAACACCTGACACACAAATCGATGGCTAGTATTAAATGGTTTCTCGATTGGTGTCCGTTTGGTTACTTTTATTTCAAGACAGACGACGATATTATGATCTATACGAAGAATTTGGTCGGAAGTGTCCGAGAGTTTATGGCCAACGATGACGACAACAAAGTGGTGACCAATTCGATGATCTTTTGCCGACAAAACCCTAACCGAAAGATTATCCGGTCGTTTGAAAAAGTATCGCAAATGATGACCTCATATCGCCGCCGGTCAGCCAATCGGCACCAATTGATGGCCGATTTGATTAAAAAATTATTGAAATACAAAATCAATTATTCACAACTGCCTGGTCTTTATTATCCCAGCTATTGTTCAGGTAATCAATCAATCAATAAAAATAAATAAATAAAAATATTTAGCAATTTATATATCAATTTATGATTTTTTTTATAAAAATAATTATTAATATATTAATTATAGAAAAATTATTTACAGTATAAATCTATGTATTAATAATTATTTTTTTTGTAATATTTTATTTTTAAAATTATTATATAATTATTTATTATTATATTTATTATAATTATTAAGGTTTTGGATACGGCTTTTCCCGACCGGTAGCCGACAAACTATATCGTACAGCCCTAACAATACCGTATCTGCAGATTGAAGACGTTTTCGTAACCGGTCTGACCCGACAAAAAGCCAACATTGGTATCAAAAATACCGATCGCCTAACACTGAGACCACTTGCGAGGCCGTCTACCGATACTGTGTGCAGTATTTTCGGTAACAACGGCCGAATTACAAGCAGTGAACTGACACCGCAACAGATGCGCCAAATTTGGACCAATAATGCCGGCGCTGAAGACACTAATTGTTAGTCCAAACAACAAAAAATTGTTTGGCTTTGTATGTCATATATATAATACCGTAATTAAAATCCTTTTTTAAAAAAAAATTATGACATCATTGACATCAACGACAATGAGTGGGACATACATACAGTGTATAGTTAGTTATTAATCGCATAACTATTTTGTGATGGTTTTACATAATATATATAAGCTTGAAATGCCCACACATTTTTCGGGTGTGTGTTTGAATGCACCCACAAAAACAAATCATACAATCAAATGTTGAAATATATATACAGTATATATATATTTTTTGGTAAGCAATTAGTAATGAATTTTTAAAAAAAATTATTTATTTAGTTGTTTATTATATAGTCATTGCAATGGTTTTGACTAATGTGTAGTACATTATAGTATAGTATATGAGTTTATTGATATGTTAATTATCAATAAAATTAATAATAATAATAATAATTATAATATCACTACTTTAGGTATCAGTTGAATCAACTAAACAAAAGAAAAACATAATTTTATTTATATATAAAAAAAAAATATATTTTTAAACACATATTCAAAATCACTATAAATTTCCAAAAAAATATATATATATACTGTAAATAAATTTACTATATATTTACAAATTTGCAATTATTTAAATAATAAAATATATTTATATTTATTTATTATTTTTTTTTTTTTGGTTAAAGTAAGAGATCTAAGTTTTAGGTACTTTTTAAAAAATACAACAACAAAAAAAACTTATCAATAATTTTTTACAATTATTGTTGAAATTTAAAATTTTTTTTTAAATATACCGTAACTTAAATTCAAATTAACTAAATAATATTGTTAATAATAATAATAATAACAACAATAATAAATTGCTATCAAATTAAATAGAGTCATGTTTGTAACGCTTGAAATACACTTATGTAAAATAAAAATAAACAAAACAACAAAAAATATTTGTTAATATTGTGGAAAATTAAAAAACTATTTGTTCAAAAAAAATAAAGAAAAAAAATTTGTTCAAAAAAATTGCAATCAAAATATAAATATATGAAATGATTATAAAAAAAAAATTTGTTAAATGAATCAAAAAAAAAAGGAAATCAAAACAAAATCAATTAAGAAGAATACAGTCGTCTTCGTCGGATGACTCGTCAATGTCGACCACAATGTCGTTGTCGTCGTCTTCTTCTTCTTCTTTATCATTAAGTTTGTCGTCAGTCATTGTTTTCAAGCATATCATCGACCGTTTGATAACATATTCTTCCAGTTCATCAATCGGGTCGCAATCGATGAGATCATCGATCGATACTAAATCACATTGAATTGATATATCTTTTGTTTCAGTAGTATTTTGTTGATTAGGACTTGTAGTCGTCGTCGTCTTCATCGTTGTTGTTGTTGTTGTAGACGTCTTGTCTGTCTTGGGTTCGCCACCTCTTCGCTGTCTTTTCGATGGCAACGGTGTTTCATCAGCTGCTGATAAGTCGACAGTAATTTCGATCGACGACTGATTACGACTACTATTACCCCCAGTACTAGTAGTAGTAGTAGTCGTCACTAATTCGACACTTGTTTTGCGTAGAAAATGTTTCGGCTGTTTTCGCCGCAGTCGACGTCGGCCTTCATTGCCATCATCGGCGGTCGTCGTCGACGATATAACTTCGATATCGCTTTCATCATCATTGGATCCGGTAGTGGAGGAGGCGGCGGCAGCGGTAGTGGAGGCGCCAGTCGGACAGCCGCCGCCGTCGGCTCGCTGTTCAATACGCTGATTGATTAGACGACAATCATCGCAATTCCAGATACCAGTACTAGTATTCGTGTATTCATCAATACACGACCAGTGGGCGCCCCGTGAGCCGCACGTATCGCAAATTAACAGATGCCAATTGGGACCCGAATTGTATTTGCGTCCGCTGGGACACTGGCACGGGCTCTGGTCGCACGTTGCGTGCCGTTGATACAGTTCGCCGAATGCATTGTTATCGCGTTCCCAGGAGGCGTCCTGACGGGGTATAAATATACCGAAATAGATCATTGTGTCCTTGAATTCTTGAATACAGTTACACAGCGGACACTTGAAAAAATAGCCGGCACTTAGCGCCTGCTTTTGAATGCATGATCGATGAACCAGTTTCAGACAGCACGGTGTGGCCAATACGTCGACGCCCTCATCGAAAGTCAGATCCGAATAACAAATCGGACACAAATCTTGCGCTTTGATTACGGATTTTGTCTTCTCGTCCTTTGGAAGCTCCTGTTTTGGTCGATGTTTCAGACAATATGAACTGTTTTATTAATAAACACAACCAAAAAAAACAGTTAGTTTTGAAAAATTAGATATTTTTTATTGATGTCTCAGAAGACAACTACTACTAACTGGAAGTTATCGAAGAACTGGCTCATCGTTTTGTTTTCAATACCGCACGGCAAGTGAAACGACACTTTGCACTAAAAAAAATAATAATAATTTTTAATAAAAAAAAATCAATTCAATTAACCACTGAATTAGTGGTTAACACCACCACCACCACCAACAACAACAACAAACAAACAGTGGTTATAACAGGTAATATCACCGCAATTGGTTCCCCACACTTACACTGGCAACTGAACAGCCGATTGTTGCGCCCTTTTTGCGACAATAATTGCACGAAAGTTTGTCGCCTCTACGCTGCTCTTTGTGTATGTCTTTGACCAGAAAACCGTATATACCTTCGCTGTCTTTGCCATTTTGCGATAAACCCGACGCCAATAGCTGTTGGTGTTGGATGTGATGACAGTGATGTATATATATATATATATATATATATATATATATATATATATAGAGAGAGAGAGAGAGAGAGAGAGAGAGATAAACAAGATAAACAAGACATTGATTTAAGACATATGGATGTGTCGGTTGTTTTGTCGGTAACTAACCAAACAATAATAGTGGACATAGATGTCGTCCAATTTGATCATTTTGCCGAAACGCAGTGAATTGCGATTGGATTTGAAACAAAACAGACACTCTTTGTCGACCATTTTTCGCCGATGATTTTGATGATGATGATGGTCACCATTAGCTGATCCACTACTACTACTACTGCCACCACCGCCGCCGCTGCCATTAATTGATCCGCTTTTACCTTATTTTTTATATAAAAAATAAATAAATACAAATCAATTGGCGGATCAATTGGCCATATCTTGCAATAACTTACGTTTGCCTTTAGATGAGGACATCTTCAGCGCCGATCAACCGAAACGAAAAACAATTCAATCGGTGGTTAAAAACAAATATGTCTTTAAAATTAACAAACCGTTTGTTTGTTTACAAATCAATCACAAAAAAAAACCAGTTTTTTAATGTCTATTAAACTATTGACGCAATTATTACATTGAATTTAATTGATAATCAAAATAACATTTCAATAATATTAATGTAATATTAAATAGTATTTTATTTTTTTTACTATTTATTTATTTATACAATAATTATATGATATTATTATTAATAGATATTTTTTATTATTACTAATAATTAGTAGTCATTGTTATTGTGCTATCAATGTGTGTGTAGTAATAGAGTGTGTTTGGTTTTAAGCGCGGTTTGGTTACCCATTATTATTATTATTATTTAATGACCCGGTATTTTTTTGGTTAATGTGGTTAACGGTTTGGTTTTTAATTTTACAATATTTAAAAATTTTAGTATATATATATAATTAAATCGGGAATATGTTTTCAGTATTTTGGTTTGGTTTTTAATTTTACAATATTTAAAAATTTAAAAATTATATAATTAAATCGGAAATATGTTTTCATAATTTTGGTTTGGTTTTTAATTTTACAATATTTAAAAATTTTAGTATATATATATATAATTAAATCGGAAATATGTTTTCATAATTTCGGTTTGGTTTAAAAAAAATATTTAATTTAAAAATATCAATTATTGCTGTGAACACTAAATTGAAATGTTTTGAATGGTTTCGGTTTTATCTATAATTTTGTAATAACACACACACACTCTATTGTTTAATACATAAATAATACTGTAGTTTGTATATTGATTGACAATACAGTGTAGAGTATTATACAGTAGACGCTACAAATGTATGCTATTAATTAATTAATTAATTAATTGACTGTACTTTAAATGTGCAAATAATTAATTTTTTTTTAAAAAATAAAAGTGATTTATATATATATATATTATTTCGTTTAGTAGAAAATATCCGGTTTGATTACCCCCTGCCCCACTCGACTAGGAGGCGGGTATAATAAACCGGAACCAACAAAAAAAATGTTATATGATTTTCATGTATAAGGTTTCGGATTTTTGAAAGTTTTTTAGTTTTATTGATTTTTTAATTTTTTACGGGTATTTTTAAATAAAAATAACATTATAATACCGTAATAATTATTTAATTAATACTTAAAAGTTTTAATAAATTATTTTTATTTATTTATTTATGTGTATAACATATGTGTATAAATTAGAATAATTTTTAATAATAATAATAATAATAATAATAATTTAAGTTTTGTATAATAATTACCGATAATTTACAAATTTTTTTTTTAAAAAAAATAATATTAATTTTACAAATAAATAGATAATTAATTAATTGATTAAATCAATTGTCCGATTGTTTTCTATAATGAAGTCTTCAAAACCGCTATTTGAAGTCATCGTGAATTGAATGTCGACGACGACGAAAACAAAGAATATAGTCGACAATTATCACTGAATCGATGGCAAAGTATTGACATTTTTGTGTCCAACACTTGTTGTCGTTTGTGTTCGACTATTGTCTCCAGTTTCCCGATCTCTTCAGTCAATTGTCTAATTTGTTGGCCAAACGAATCCAATTGTCCAAACTTTTTCTGCCGATGTCTTTGAGCAGCAAATCTGTTTCTCTGTCGCATATCTTGTCTAAACTCTTCGGCGCTCATCAACTCCTTCTTCTTTCTTCTCTGCCTTTTAGTACTTCTCATCGACGGTAGATCTTCTATTAGATGACGTTTATTGTCATCAGTTGCCAACTCATTATCGTTGTTGACCACAATGTCTTCTTCTTCTTCGTCCGACGTTTCAATGTCTTCGTAGTTGTCGTCGTCGTCGTCGTAGTCATTGTAGTAGTCATAGTAATCGTTGACATCGATGTCTATTACAATGTCTTCGTATTGTTTATCATCGCTGCCGTTGTTGTTGTTGATGATGTTGTCGCCAGTCATGCATATCGTTGTTGTCATCGTCGGCGGCGGCGGACTTACGCAGACATCGTTGGTGCTGTTGTGGTCGCCAATCGGGTTGCAGTGGTCACCAATCGGGTTGTTGTGGTCGCCAATCGGGTTGTTGTGGTCGCCAATCGGGTTGTTGTGGTCGCCAATCGGGTTGCAGTGGTCACCAATCGGGTTGTTGTGGTCGCCAATCGGGTTGTTGTGGTCGCCAATCGGGTTGTTGTGGTCGCCAATCGGGTTGCAGTGGTCACCAATCGGGTTGTTGTGGTCGCCAATCGGGTTGTTATGGCTACCAATCGGGTTGTTGTGGTCACCAATCGGGTCGTTGTCGTAGTCATCGCCGCTACCGTCACTGCACTCTTCTATGAGGTCATCGATGGCCACTAAATCGCATTGAATTGCCAGGTCTTTCGTTATAATAGTTTCGATTCGGGTTTTGGATTTCGGGTCCGGTTTTGACATAATTATTAGTATTTTTATTATTATTATTAACAAAACAATTAAATTATTAATTTCTGTTTTAATTTAGTTGGTTTTGTTGGTCACTAGCGGTTCGGTTCCCGTCTCGTAAATGGCAATCAATCGATGCTTTTTTTTGAGAGGTTTCGCGCCTCTAATACATAGTTTAACTGAAAAAAAATATTTTTTATTTATTTATTTTTAATACACAATAATAATACCAAACATAACGTGTGTTTCTATGACATCACCTGTTGTTTTGTATTATTATTATTAATATTGAATGCAATACTCTATTACTGTGTGTATTATTAGTCAAATAATATTAATAATAAATACATCAATATATCAACAAAAAAATTGTTAAAAACATTTGTTATTATTGTTATTATTATTAGTTATAAAATATAATTGATTGCAATGTTGTTGTTATGTTAGTGTTGTGTTGTCTAACAAAATAAAAATAAGTGTCAAAAACAAAAATCAATAGTAAAATACAGTACTATTAGTAGTAGTAATGTATTACTAATTTAAAGGTATTTTTGTTTAAAGTTAATAATGATTTGAATGAATGAAATGAAAACTTTTTGTTTTGATTGACTGAAGAAATGGTTTACTTCTTCTCCTTCATGAATGTCTTACCAATCAATGATTGGCTGACAGATAAAACTAATACATTATTTTTAATATTATTTTTAGCCTTAATTTTGATGATTGGATTCATTATATTTATGCTAAAGTAAGACAACAATAATCTTCATCAAACATCTGATCCATCTATTCATACCATTGAATGATTAAAATGTTTTTTTTTCTCTGTTATACAGAAAGATGAATGTGTTTACCGACGGCGATAATGTTCATCATCTGAATCGGGAACCATTGAACGCCCAATCGATGGTACGCCTGAAGAATCCGTTTATGTTTAAACTGAAGGATGAGTCCATTCAGACCGACAATTACCGTAACGGTTTGAAAGTGGACATCACTTGCGACAGCTCTTTCTGGGTAATGAGCTTCTGGGCGGTGACTATCAATGATTTACATCAGTCGCTGGATACCGATGATTGGCAGCCAATGCGCCAGCAATTGCTGGACGAAAAGTTTATCGATGGCCACTATCTCTATAAGAGTGAACCCGAACTGTATGTATATCATATATGCATATATCTTGACCATCACTTATCGTTGTCATTGATTGATTTAATAGATCCTAAACTAAATAATTAATTGATTTTTTTTTATTTAATATTAAAAGGTATTACGAGACCAACGAAACAGTTACCCATTGGATTAAACCGCCGGATGTCTACTTTAGTGGCGAAAGTCTTGGTTATAATCCTAGATCTCGTTATCCATTAGTTGTACTAATTGTTAGTTTTTATTTTATTTTGTTTGTTTGTTAATGTTGTTGATCACCACTTGTTATATATCTTCCTAACCACACCTAATAGATCCGCAATGATGATGACGATGGCGTCGAGATTGATGACAATGATGTGGTTAGTGGTTGTCATTGAAATCATTTGCAGATAATTATCTAAACTATTATTTTCTAATATATATTATTAATAATAATAAATAGGTTTGTTTGATATCAATAATACATTTGCGCGACTCGTTTTGTACGTCCACTACATCACTGATTACACAGTATCTGAAACAAAGAAACGGTTCAATATTTGATTTGAAACAACTGTTTGCACCGCAAAGCGAGTTCGAGTCTCACACTCAGCAGCTGTGTGTCATCTGTCAGTCATCACTGGTATCTGTGGCACTGTTGCCCTGTCGGCACTCGTGTCTGTGCGGACAATGTTTTCAACGAGTGGACAACTGTCCCATTTGTCGGCTATCGATCACATCGTTTTTCAGGATCCGTGACGACGACGATGGCGGCGACGTCGGCGACGACACTGAAGATAATCCGGATTTCGGTACAAACCAGAGACAAACTACCGGTTGGTTTGCATCGATTAATAACAAAATTAATCAATGGCTGGGATTGAACTAACAATTGTTATATATATATCTATATCTATATATATATTTTAATAATTTTTGTATTTTATTTTGTTGATTATTAAACTATTTATTTATAAAGTTTAAATTAAACGCTCAATTAATTTAACTGTAACACAAAAATATACATACAGTTAGTTATACACTGTATTATTATTATCGGTAAATATTTTTTTTTTTAAACAAACACTATTTACAAATTATATACACAACAATACAGTAGTAATTTATTACAGTATATATATATATATATATTCACAATTGATTTAATTTCTATACAATAATTACCGATACATATATAAAAAATAAAATTTATTTAATAAATAAATTAAATATAAATATATTAAAATAAAAAAAAATAGATAATAGACTCTATATATATAGATATAAAAAATAGTTATTAAAAAATAAAATACTTATTAAATAATAATAATAATAAATAATTTAATATTTCAAATGTTCACAAATAGCGTCGTGAACTGGAAGTGCTGTAAAACCGGCAATTGTTATACCAATTGAATCGCTAAGTGTTGTAATACTTAACGCATAGGATTTATACTTTTGATTGACTTCACTATAGATCCGATAAAATGTGTTAACATAGGCGGCCCCACCTAACAGTCCCTCGAACAGTACCAGTGCCAACATTATCCAAATGGTGGGCATAAACTGTGTCCACAGCTGTGTCAAGACTATCAAAACGTTGACCAACTGAAGAATGGCCAGTAGATAGAGTTTTTGAATTTTCAAAAAACTTATCGACGAACGGGATATTAATACACCGATCTGTTTGATACAACAATTATTAATAGTTTTAAAATTAGCTACCAGTGCTCTGTATATATATATATATATATACTGTATAATAACTGTCTCTAACCTGATAGTCGACATTATACCATCGGTATTGCTCTTTTTGTGTAAGCCATATGCCGGGAAAGTAGACTAATTCAAACTACCAGTGCATTTGAGTGGGTAATAAAAAATAGATTTTAAAAAAGGTAATTGAATTGAACGGTAATTTTAATTATAAACATAAAAAAAATTTAGTAAACTATATATATATACTAACCAATCCTTGATTGATGAAGTACTCAAACAGGTAGACAAACATTAATGGCAGCATATATTTCAGTAGGCTCTGTAACCAACAAACCAAACGAAAAAAAATAAGATAATTGTTTAAATAACTGATCCATAAGATCCAACATTATATATATATATATATACTTTAATATAGACAATCATCTGCCAGATTGTCATTTTGTCGCCGGAATTGTTTGGATTCAAAACAATTGTCTCATCGGTACAGTCGTCCACGCCGTCAGTAGATTCATCGCAAATCAATGGACTAATAACTTCAGCAATAGAGTCGTCGTGAGGAACGGTAGGCTCGGTTATGATACACCAGAATGTGAACGCCATCAACACTGGTATGACTAACATGACCAGTAGTGTTGTTTTGGGAGTCAAACCGATTGTCGTAAGGAATGCATAGGACAACGAGCCTAACAAACCGGAAGCTCCCGTTCCCGATGACCAGTAGGATATGACTCGTAAATCAAATTTCGATGTATACGATAGGTATGTTGTTTCGCCTAAACCGCTGGACAGGGAGGCGCATACAATACCTATAATATATATATATATATATATATATATTTAAAAAAAATAGATTAACTATAATTTAGTTAAATCCTAAACATAGAGATTTAAACCTTTTTTTTAACAACAAACCTATGTATGAATAGTAGATATTTGTAGAAATTGATGTCAATATGAAACTCATGGCCGACAGTATGACCACTAATGAGACCCTAAAACTATATATATATGTTATCATTAAAAAAAATTAAATTTTTTATTTTAAAAAAGTATATTAAATTTTTAAGTGATAGGACACTACTAACTTTGTGTTTGTAAAGACAAACGGTGCCAATAGTTTAATGATAAGACAGGGAAGTATATCAGCAATAAGTACGGCACCGGTCGATGACGAGTTGCACTGAAATGTTGTTGAATTTTTATTGTTGTTGTTGTCGTCGTAGTCATCGGCGGTAATGTCATCGCCGCCGCCACTGACTCCCGGTTTGCGATCATTTTCCTGCAATATTTTTAACAATAATTATACGATATATATATAATTAATTATTTTTTTTTGTTAACAATAATGTGTTTGTGTGATTATAATGATTGTAATGATCATATCAATGATGGACACTAACGGCAATGATATCGAAGGCTGCGCTTAACATAATAACATAGGAATAGTTGTTACTTAAGCCCAGAATCCTAATTATATTTTTAAAAAAATCAATTAGAAATCAATTAAATATTTAAATTAATAATTTATTTTATTAAAATTAATTTTTTTTTAAAAAATTGTTTAATAATTTAAATTATATACCAAAATGATATGTGATTTCGGTATTTATTCCACCAATTCATCGCTTGAAACCAAAAATAATTTATATATAATCACAAAAATTTATATAATAAAACCAAACAAACAGACAGACAATACATTTACATAATTTAAAAATGATATATTTATTTAATTAAAAAAATTATGATTATATATTTTTTTTAGTGAATTATATAAATATTATTTTATTTAATTTGTTGATAACATGTTTAGATAATTGAATTTCAATGGCATTATTCAATTAATGTATAAATAAAGTTATTTTTTTAGCAATTTATCAAATATTTTTTTATTTATAAAAACAAACTGTAAACAAACATACAGTTTATGTTAACATTTATTAATACAGGGTGGCACACCTAAATGTATTTGTTAGTATGTAACTTACGGTAAAATTTACAAGTTTATATATATAATATATAGAATTTAAATAAAATTTTTAATATGCTAATATATAATATATAATATATAATATATAATATATAATATATAATATATAATATATAATATATAATATATAATATATAATATATAATATATAATATATAATATATAATATATAATATATAATATATAATATATAATATATAATATATAATATATAATATATAATATATAATATATAATATATAATATATAATATATAATATATAATATATAATATATAATATATAATATATAATATATAATATATAATATATAATATATAATATATAATATATAATATATAATATATAATATATAATATATAATATATAATATATAATATATAATATATAATATATAATATATAATATATAATATATAATATATAATATATAATATATAATATATAATATATAATATATAATATATAATATATAATATATAATATATAATATATAATATATAATATATAATATATAATATATAATATATAATATATAATATATAATATATAATATATAATATATAATATATAATATATAATATATAATATATAATATATAATATATAATATATAATATATAATATATAATATATAATATATAATATATAATATATAATATATAATATATAATATATAATATATAATATATAATATTATAATATATAATATATAATATATAATATATAATATATAATATTATAATATATAATATATAATATATAATATATAATATATAATATATAATATTATAATATATAATATATAATATATAATATATAATATTATAATATATAATATATAATATATAATATATAATATATAATATTATAATATATAATATATAATATATAATATATAATATATAATATTATAATATATAATATATAATATATAATATATAATATATAATATATAATATATAATATATAATATATAATATATAATATATAATATATAATATATAATATATAATATATAATATATAATATATAATATATAATATATAATATATAATATATAATATATAATATATAATATATAATATATAATATATAATATATAATATATAATATATAATATATAATATATAATATATAATATATAATATATAATATATAATATATAATATATAATATATAATATATAATATATAATATATAATATATAATATATAATATATAATATATAATATTATAATATATAATATATAATATATAATATATAATATATAATATTATAATATATAATATATAATATATAATATATAATATATAATATATAATATATAATATATAATATATAATATATAATATATAATATATAATATATAATATATAATATATAATATATAATATATAATATATAATATATAATATATAATATATAATATATAATATATAATATATAATATATAATATATAATATATAATATTATAATATATAATATATAATATATAATATATAATATATAATATATAATATATAATATTATAATATTATTATATATAGTATTATAATATGTAGTATTATTATATAATATAAATTGTATATAATTATAATTGTAAAATTATTTTAATAATTAAAAAAAATTCAGCGTTCAAATTTAATTAATTTATCCATTAAAACTAATTATTATTGTTATTGTTAATAACATGTATTATCCAATCGATATACATTGAAACACGTGGATAAACTGTAAATATTATCTGATCGGTCACTTGACACTGTTGATTGCCACGACTACCCGAGTGTATACCAATAAGCACTGCCCTACCGTCAGCACTACTATATTGATATAATGGTCCACCAGAATCACCCTTTCATTTAATTTCAAAATAAAATCATAAATAATTACTACCAAAAACTATTAGTTGCAAAATCACATACAAAACAACCCATTGAACCGGTAGTTAATGGATATCTGTAGCTAAACAGCAATCGATTGTATGCATCGATGGTATTATTCTTCGCCCTCATAATCATTGTATAACTTATTTGCAATCTATTGCTTAAACTTAATGTATTTTCATCTAAAACACCGTAACCGGCATACAGTCCGAGTTGATTGTCGCTATTGATTGCATACTCTGGTGGCAAACATATACCGTTAAGTGTCCGATATGTACCCGATCTGTGGCGGTTAGTAAGCGGTAAATCTGATTGTAGTTTAATGAGTCCGATATCGACGTACGGGTTAACTGATTTGTTTTGTTGTCTATAAATTGGATGAATAAATGTTTGTTCAATTCTGTAGCTATCAGTTGGTTGATCAGTGTCTAAGATCCCGGGATATACTAACAGATCATTGATTGGAAAACTGTATTTGTTTTTTGTTGTATATCAAACAAAATGGGTTTAATTTTTTTTTGTTGATATAATAATAATTATTATTATTTTTTTGTTGATATGACATACTTTATCGCGTGTGCGGCGGTTAATATCCAACGCTTATTGATTATAATACCAGAGGCTCGACCACCACTTTGTTGTTAATATATCAATATATATATATAATTAATTATTTTAGTTTTATTAGTGTATTCAATACATACTTTCCTATTTTGATTAACACAATGAACGGTACTTCACCCGGTTGTGCGTTACGACCCAAATGTATATCCATTTGTGTTGTTGTTGTTGTAATGGATAACCATTTAAAGCACTTTCCACTGGATATCAGTGACTGCCGTCCGATACCACATCCCTTGAGTGTTACATTGGGATAGTGTTTATGGGATGAATGGGACAGACATATAATCGACAAACAATTAATACCTATTGTTTGTTAATAAACAATGATTTTATAAAGTTTAAAAAAAATATTTAAACTAATTATTATAATATAATTTTTATGATTTACTTAAAACTTACTTATTAATATAATTTTGAATATATAAACTATAAGACAATAAATATTATTAATATTTTTATTATTAAACATTTTAAGCAATTAAATTAATATTTACTGTAAAATGTTAATAATTTTAATATTTATGTTTTAATTTAATTAAACATTTTTTTAAACAATATATAATTTACATGCTATTTGATATGTTTTTATAATTGTATTTATAATTATATTGTTTTAAATTACAAATTTGCTAAATAATTTTACTTATTTCATTTAAAACAATAATTATTTTTTAAAATTATTAATCATAAGTTTACTACTGTATTAATACTGTTTTTTTTAAAAGTAATAAAATTTTAGTTACAGTACATACTTGCTATAATAATTGATTTTAATATTAAAATTATTATTTTTATAACAATAATATTGTTTATATATTAATTTAATATTCTATAAAATTGTATATATATTTTGATAATACCAATAAACAGGACATATGTTTGACAAATATTTTAATTATTATATTTCAATATTAATTTGTAAGTTAGTTATTAATAGAAATTATAATAATAATAAATAAAAATATTAATATTATAATATACAGTTTAGTTGAATTAGTTATGTGAATGTAAAAACAAATTATATTATGAATTGATAATTGATTTACTATTAAAATAGAAAATTTTAATAACAAATTTGTTGTTTATATTAATTTAATATTTTTATAATTTTTATATATATATATATATATTGTTAATACCAATAAACAGGACATATGATTGACAACTATATTTATAATTTTAAATAAAAAATTATTATATTTCAGTAGTTAATATCATTGTATTTTAACAACAATTAATTATCTTAGATACACCCGGGTTATATTAAGCACATAAAATAATAATTGAATTTAGCATGGGCATAAAATTATGGTAAATAATTATTTTTTAAAAATAATTTATGGATCATAAGTTTACTACTGTATTAATATTTTCAAAAAAATAATAAAATATCAGTTACAGTACATACTTGCTATAATAATTGATTTACTATTATTATTTTAATAACAAAATTATTGTTTATATATTAATTTAATATTTTTATAAAATTGTATATATATTTTGTTAATACCAATAAACAGGACATATGATTGACAACAATATTTATAATTTTAAATAAAAAATTATTTTATTTCAGTAGTTAGTTTGTAAGTTATTAATAGAGATTATAATTTACAGTTATATAAACGGGTAGTATATTAGTTACATTCAAACAAAATTTTCGTAGCATTTAAATAGTTATCGCTAATTGTTTTAAAATTGAACAAAAACTATAAGTTTTTTTGTGATTTAAAGTTTTAATTACATCATAGCCATAAAATTTTTGTGTTTTATTAATTAATAATTTAAAATATGTACTCACAGTCAGTCAATGAAAGTTCAGAGACTACTAATACTACTACTAGTAGTAGTATTGATAGTAGTAGTAGTAGTCATCTAAACAATAGTTATTCAATAATATCATCGACAAGTGTCCCGGAATATGGATCAAACAGTGGTTCAAATATTGGATTTATGGCTCTCATTGTTATGGTTTGTCTGGCAATTGTTTTGACTATCAAATACAGGCAACAAATAACTAATAATAGACGTGTTATCTATTGGATCAATATTTTTCGTGAATTATTACATCCATCGTAATCAAAAACAACAAAATTTATTTTAAAAATTAAATTTATGCTAATTTTTACTATTATAAGTTACTATAGTATTATATATATAATGGATACTTTATACTGATTATAAATTACTATAAATGTAATATAAATAACTTATATATATATATATATATATATATATATATGTGTGTGTATAATTTTATAAATATAAAAATAATACTGTACTATGATATTAATTATACAATTATTAAGTACTATAAAAATAATTAAAAAATAAAATAAAAATAAAATAAATAACACAAATGTAATTTATCAAATAATTTAGACTTAATTATTATTATTATCATTAATAACTTGTATTATCCAATCGATATGCATCGACACCCGGGGATAAAGTGTATAAGCTATCTGATCGGTGACATCACACGGATGATTGGAACGGCTAACTGAGTTTATGCCGATAAGCACTGCCCTACCGTCAGTACTACCACTATATTGATATAATGGTCCACCAGAATCACCCTATTTAACAAACAAACAAAAAATTATACAAATAATTAACGCTCTGAAGTCATTCAAATTTAGCTATTTTTACCTTAAGTGACCAGATTGTTATGGCGCGTGTTATTAAATTAATTTTAGACCAATCAGAATTTAATCTATTATTAAGTTTTCAACGGTTTTAGAATAATTACAAAAATTTTAAAATATACTAGCCAAACCTATTAAATGTATGATAATCATATAAAAAGAAGTTGAGGATTAGGTCATATTATCATATAATGGTAATAATAATTGAAGAAGTTGAGGAATAGGTCATATTATCATATAATGGTAATAATAACTGAAGAAGTTGAGGAATAGGTCATATTATCATATAATGGTAATAATAACTGAAGAAGTTGAGGAATAGGTCATATTATCATATAATGGTAATAATAACTGAAGAAGTTGAGGAATAGGTCATATTATCATATAATGGTAATAATAACTGAAGAAGTTGAGGAATAGGTCATATTATCATATAATGGTAATAATAACTGAAGAAGTTGAGGAATAGGTCATATTATCATATAATGGTAATAATAATAGAAGAAGTTGAGGAATAGGTCATATTATCATATAATGGTAATAATAACTGAAGAAGTTGAGGAATAGGTCATATTATCATATAATGGTAATAATAACTGAAGAAGTTGAGGAATAGGTCATATTATCATATAATGGTAATAATAACTGAAGAAGTTGAGGAATAGGTCATATTATCATATAATGGTAATAATAACTGAAGAAGTTGAGGAATAGGTCATATTATCATATAATGGTAATAATAATAGAAGAAGTTGAGGAATAGGTCATATTATCATATAATGGTAATAATAACTGAAGAAGTTGAGGAATAGGTCATATTATCATATAATGGTAATAATAATTGAAGAAGTTGAGGATTAGGTCATATTATCATATAATGGTAATAATAATTGAAGAAGTTGAGGAATAGGTCATATTATCATATAATGGTAATAATAATTGAAGAAGTTGAGGATTAGGTCATATTATCATATAATGGTAATAATAATTGAAGAAGTTGAGGAATAGGTCATATTATCATATAATGGTAATAATAACTGAAGAAGTTGAGGAATAGGTCATATTATCATATAATGGTAATAATAATTAAAGAAGTTGAGGAATAGGTCATATTATCATATAATGGTAATAATAACTGAAGAAGTTGAGGAATAGGTCATATTATCATATAATGGTAATAATAATTGAAGAAGTTGAGGAATAGGTCATATTATCATATAATGGTAATAAAACTGAAGAAATTGAGGAATAGGTCAAATATTTCATTATTTTTCAGCTATTTTTACCATTAGATGATAATTGAATTTAATTATCACTATCTTCAGCTATTTTTACCATTAGATGATTATTGGATCTAATTATCACTATCTTCAGCTATTTTTACCATTAGATGATTATTGGAGCTAATTATCACTATCTTCAGCTATTTTTACCATTAGATGATAATTTAATTTAATTATCACTATCTTCAGCTATTTTTACCCTTAGATGATTATTGGATCTAATTATCACTATCTTCAGCTATTTTTACCATTAGATGATAATTGAATTTAATTATCACTATCTTCAGCTATTTTTACCCTTAGATGATTATTGAATTTAATTATCACTATGTTCAGCTATTTTTACCATTAGATGATTATTGGATCTAATTATCACTATCTTCAGCTATTTTTACCATTAGATGATTATTGGAGCTAATTATCACTATCTTCAGCTATTTTTACCATTAGATGATAATTTAATTTAATTATCACTATCTTCAGCTATTTTTACCCTTAGATGATTATTGGATCTAATTATCACTATCTTCAGCTATTTTTACCATTAGATGATAATTGAATTTAATTATCACTATCTTCAGCTATTTTTACCCTTAGATGATTATTGAATTTAATTATCACTATGTTCAGCTATTTTTACCATTAGATGATTATTGGATCTAATTATCACTATCTTCAGCTATTTTTACCATTAGATGATTATTGGAGCTAATTATCACTATCTTCAGCTATTTTTACCATTAGATGATAATTTAATTTAATTATCACTATCTTCAGCTATTTTTACCCTTAGATGATTATTGGATCTAATTATCACTATCTTCAGCTATTTTTACCATTAGATGATAATTGAATTTAATTATCACTATCTTCAGCTATTTTTATCTTTAGACGATAAAAAGCCACTATATGTTAGCGTCACTTATTATAAGACATACATAACTTAAATTTTTAATAACTTATAGATAAAATTAAAATTCAATAATATTTAATTTTTTGTTCGATTCATTTTGATTGGTCAATTGGCTCTGTGCCGATGGCACTGTTTTGTCACCAAAGGAAAACATCGATTTGTGCCGATGGCACACGTTTGTTGTCAGCGCGTTAATTAGTTGCATCAAAATACAATAGATAAAATAGATTATAATAATTTAAATTAAATATATATATCATGGTTAAGTAAGGAGGTAGGGGTGTAAAACCATAATAGCCCCCTAAGATCGAGATTCTAGGATTTTACTCCCCCCCAAACTTTTTGACCAAATGTAAAAAATTGTTGCTTAAAAGCCCCTCTAAAATCCAAAACCTTGTTTAACCCTGATATATATAATGTATAAAAAAAATTTAATAAATTTTATTTAACCATAACTTACAGCACAACTCCGCGAACCGATTTCAGGCGGATATCTATAGCTCCAAATCAATCGGTTTTGTTCATCTGATGTATTATTTTTTGCCCGTATAATCATTGTATAACTTATTTGCAATCTATTGACCAATGTTTTAGTGGTTTCATCGATATAACCGTAACCGGCATACAATGCCAACTCATTGACGCTATTGATTTCAAGCTTACGGGGCAAACATATACCGTTGAGTGTACGATATGCAGCCAATTGGTGGTGGAGGTGGTGGCCAGTGATCGGCAAATCTGATCCCAACTTAATGAGTCCGATATCAAAGGCTGGGTTATGTGTTTTAGTTGTTTGTTTAAACATTGGATGAATAAATGTTTGCATCGGTCGGTAGCTATTATCGGTGCGCATATTATTAGAGTCTAAAACTCCCGGATATACTAACAAATCATTGATTGGAAAACTGTTGTTTTTTGTTGGTTTAAATAAAACGTTTTTTTAAATTTTTTAACATTTAATTATTTTTTTTGTATAATTACATACTCTATTGCATGTGCGGCAGTCAATATCCAGCGCTCATTGAGTATAATACCAGTGCCGCGTCCACCACTGGGTATTACACATTTAATTTAACTAAAATTATTGATTGTTTTAATTAAATACATACTAATTGCCGATTTGTATGTACACAATGAACGGCACTTCACCCGGTTGTGCGTTACGACCCAAATGTATATCCATTTGTGTTGTTGTTGTATTGGATAACCATTTAAAGCACTTTCCACTCGACATCAGTGACTGCCGTCCGATACCACATCCCTTGAGTGTTACATTGGGATAGTGTTTATGGGATGAATGGGACAGACATATAATCGACAAACAATTAATACCTATTGTTTGTTAATAAACAATGATTTTATAAAGTTTAAAAAAATATTTAAACTAATTATTATAATATAATTTTTATGATTTACTTAAAACTTACTTATTAATATAATTTTGAATATATAAACTATAAGACAATAAATATTATTAATATTTTTATTATTAAGCATTTTAAGCAATTAAATTAATATTTACTGTAAAATGTTAATAATGTTAATATTTATGTTTTAATTTAATTAAACATTTTTTTAAACAATATATAATTTACATGCTATTTGATATGTTTTTATAATTGTATTTATAATTATATTGTTTTAAATTACAAATTTGCTAAATAATTTTACTTATTTCATTTAAAACAATAATTATTTTTTTAAAATTATTAATCATAAGTTTACTACTGTATTAATACTGTTTTTTTAAAGTAATAAAATTTTAGTTACAGTACATACTTGCTATAATAATTGATTTTAATATTAAAATTATTATTTTTATAACAATAATATTGTTTATATATTAATTTAATATTCTATAAAATTGTATATATATTTTGATAATACCAATAAACAGGACATATGTTTGACAAATATTTTAATTATTATATTTCAATATTAATTTGTAAGTTAGTTATTAATAGAAATTATAATAATAATAAATAAAAATATTAATACTATAATATACAGTTTAGTTGAATTAGTTATGTGAATGTAAAAACAAATTATATTATGAATTGATAATTGATTTACTATTAAAATAGAAAATTTTAATAACAAATTTGTTGTTTATATTAATTTAATATTTTTATAATTTTTGTATATATACAAATATGTATGTATATATATATATATATATATATATTGTTAATACCAATAAACAGGACATATGATTGACAACTATATTTATAATTTTAAATAAAAAATTATTATATTTCAGTAGTTAATATCATTGTATTTTAACAACAATTAATTATCTTAGATACACCCGGGTTATATTAAGCACATAAAATAATAATTGAATTTAGCATGGGCATAAAATTATGGTAAATAATTATTTTTTAAAAATAATTTATGGATCATAAGTTTACTACTGTATTAATATTTTCAAAAAAATAATAAAATATCAGTTACAGTACATACTTGCTATAATAATTGATTTACTATTATTATTTTAATAACAAAATTATTGTTTATATATTAATTTAATATTTTTATAAAATTGTATATATATTTTGTTAATACCAATAAACAGGACATATGATTGACAACAATATTTATAATTTTAAATAAAAAATTATTATATTTCAGTAGTTAGTTTGTAAGTTATTAATAGACATTGTAATATACAGTATATAAATGGATAGTATATTAGTTACATGCAAACAAAATTTTCGTAGCATTTAAATAGTTATCGCTAATTGTTTTAAAATTGAACAAAAACTATAAGTTTTTTGTGATTTAAAGTTTTAATTACATCATAGCCATAAAATTTTTGTGTTTTATTAATTAATAATTAAAAATATGTACTCACAATCAGTCAATGAAAGTTCAGAGACTACTAATACTACTACAAGTAGTAGTATTGATAGTAGTAGTAGTAGTCATCTAAACAATAGTTATTCAATAATATCATCGACAAGTGTCCCGGAATGTGGATCAAACAGTGGTTCAAATATTGGATTTATGGCTTTAATTATTATGGTTTGTCTGGCAATTGTATTGAGTGTCAAATACAGGCAACAAATTACTAATAATAGACGTGTTATCCATTGGATCAATATTTTTCGTGAATTATTACATCCATCGTAATCAAAAACAACAAAATTTATTTTAAAAATTAAATTTATGCTAATTTTTACTATTAATATAATAAGTTACTATAGTATTATATATATAATGGATACTTTATACTGATTATAAATTACTATAAATGTAATATAAATAACTTATATATATATATATATATATATATATATATATATATATATATATATATATATATGTGTATAATTTTATAAATATAAAAATAATACTGTACTATGATATTAATTATACAATTATTAAGTACTATAAAAATAATTAAAAAATAAAATAAAAATAAAATAAATAACACAAATGTAATTTATCAAATAATTTAGACTTAATTATTATTATTATCATTAATAACTTGTATTATCCAATCGATATGCATCGACACCCGGGGATAAAGTGTATAAGCTATCTGATCGGTGACATCACACGGATGATTGGAACGGCTAACTGAGTTTATGCCGATAAGCACTGCCCTACCGTCAGTACTACCACTATATTGATATAATGGTCCACCAGAATCACCCTATTTAACAAACAAACAAAAAATTATACAAATAATTAATTAGTTGCATCAAAATACAATAGATAAAATAGATTATAATAATTTAAATTAAATATATATATCATGGTTAAGTAAGGAGGTAGGGGTGTAAAACCATAATAGCCCCCTAAGATCGAGATTCTAGGATTTTACTCCCCCCCAAACTTTTTGACCAAATGTAAAAAATTGTTGCTTAAAAGCCCCTCTAAAATCCAAAACCTTGTTTAACCCTGATATATATAATGTATAAAAAAAATTTAATAAATTTTATTTAACCATAACTTACAGCACAACTCCGCGAACCGATTTCAGGCGGATATCTATAGCTCCAAATCAATCGGTTTTGTTCATCTGATGTATTATTTTTTGCCCGTATAATCATTGTATAACTCAATTGCAATCTATTGACCAATGTTTTAGTGGTTTCATCGATATAACCGTAACCGGCATACAATGCCAGCTCATTGACGCTATTGATTTCAAGCTTACGGGGCAAACATATACCGTTGAGTGTACGATATGCACCCAATTGGTGGTGACGGTGGCCAGTGATCGGCAAATCAGATCCCAACTTAATGAGTCCGATATCAAAGGCTGGGTTATGTGTTTTAGTTGTTTGTTTAAACATTGGATGAATAAATGTTTGCATCGGTCGGTAGCTATTATCGGTGCGCATATTATTAGTGTCTAAAACTCCCGGATATACTAACAAATCATTAATTGGAAAACTGTTGTTTTTTGTTGGTTTAAATAAAAAGTTTTTTTTAATTTTTTAACATTTAATTATTTTTTTGTATAATTACATACTCTATTGCATGTGCGGCAGTCAATATCCAGCGCTCATTGAGTATAATACCAGTGCCGCGTCCACCACTGGGTATTACACATTTAATTTAACTAAAATTATTGATTGTTTTAATTAAATACATACTAATTGCCGATTTGTATGTACACAATGAACGGCACTTCACCCGGTTGTGCGTTACGACCCAAATGTATATCCATTTGTGTTGTTGTTGTATTGGATAACCATTTAAAGCACTTTCCACTCGACATCAGTGACTGCCGTCCGATACCACATCCCTTGAGTGTTACATTGGGATAGTGTTTGTGGGATGAATGGGACAGACATATAATCGACAAACAATTAATACCTATTGTTTGTTAATAAACAATGATTTTATAAAGTTTTAAAAAAATATTTAATCTAATTACTAAAACAATTTTTATGATTTACTTATAACTTACTTATTAATATATAAATTATAATACAATTAATATTATTATTATTAACGCGCTGACAACAAACGTGTGCCATCGGCACAAATCGACGTTTTCCTTTGGTGACAAAACAGTGCCATTGGCACAGAGCCAATTGACCAATCAAAATGAATCGAACAAAAAATTAAATATTATTGAATTTTAATTTTATCTTTAAGTTATTAAGAATTAAATTTATGTATGTCTTATAATAAGTGATGCTCACATATAGTGGTTTTTATCATCTAATGGTAAAAATAGTTGAAGATAGTGATAATTAGATCCAATTATCATCTAATGGTAAAAATGGCTGAAGATTGTGATAATTAGATCCAATTATCATCTAATGGTAAAAATGGCTGAAGATTGTGATAATTAGATCCAATTATCATCTAATGGTAAAAATGGCTGAAGATTGTGATAATTAGATCCAATTATCATCTAATGGTAAAAATGGCTGAAGATTGTGATAATTAGATCCAATTATCATCTAATGGTAAAAATGGCTGAAGACTGTGATAATTAGATCCAATTATCATCTAATGGTAAAAATGGCTGAAGACTGTGATAATTAGATCCAATTATCATCTAATGGTAAAAATAACTGAAGATTGTGATAATTAGATCCAATTATCATCTAATGGTAAAAATGACTGAAAAATAAATGAAATATTTGACATATTCCTCAACTTCTTCAGTAAATATTACCATTATATGATAATATGACCTATTCCTCAACTTCTTCAGTAAATATTACCATTATATGATAATATGACCTATTCCTCAACTTCTTCAGTAAATATTACCATTATATGATAATATGACCTATTCCTCAACTTCTTCAGTAAATATTACCATTATATGATAATATGACCTATTCCTCAACTTCTTCAGTAAATATTACCATTATATGATAATATGACCTATTCCTCAACTTCTTCAGTAAATATTACCATTATATGATAATATGACCTATTCCTCAACTTCTTCAGTAAATATTACCATTATATGATAATATGACCTATTCCTCAACTTCTTCAGTAAATATTACCATTATATGATAATATGACCTATTCCTCAACTTCTTCAGTAAATATTACCATTATATGATAATATGACCTATTCCTCAACTTCTTCAGTAAATATTACCATTATATGATAATATGACCTATTCCTCAACTTCTTCAGTAAATATTACCATTATATGATAATATGACCTATTCCTCAACTTCTTCAGTAAATATTACCATTATATGATAATATGACCTATTCCTCAACTTCTTCAGTAAATATTACCATTATATGATAATATGACCTATTCCTCAACTTCTTCAGTAAATATTACCATTATATGATAATATGACCTATTCCTCAACTTCTTCAGTAAATATTACCATTATATGATAATATGACCTATTCCTCAACTTCTTCAGTAAATATTACCATTATATGATAATATGACCTATTCCTCAACTTCTTCAGTAAATATTACCATTATATGATAATATGACCTATTCCTCAACTTCTTCAGTAAATATTACCATTATACGATATAATCATACATTTATAGGTTTAGCTAGTATATGTTAAAATATTTGTAATTATTCTAAAACCGTTGAAAACTTAATAATAGATTAAATTCTGATTGGTCTAAAATTAATTTAATAACACGCGCCATAACAATCTGGTCACTTAAGGTAAAAATAGCTAAATTTGAATGACTTCAGAGCGTTAAGCATTTTATCAATTAAATTAATATTTACTGTAAAATTTTAATAATTGTATTATTTATGTTTTTATTTATAAATAAATATTTTTGAAACAATATATTATTAAATTTTAAATATAAATCTTAACTTACATTATAGTCTAATAATATTATAATTTACATTCTATTTGATATTTTTTATAATTTTAATTATATTATCTTAAATTACAAATTTGCTAAATTATTTTACTTATTTCATTTTAAACAATAATTATTTGAATAAAATGCAAATTAATAAAAAATTATAAATTTAGTAAACAATTAGTATTTATTTGTGTTGTCTATATAAAAAAAATAATTATCAAATTATTAATATGATTGTATAATATTTTGAAAAACAATTACTGATCTTATATACCAGGGTTATATTAAACAAAAAAAAATATGATAAAAAAATAATTTATGAATCATAAGTTTACTACTATACTAATATTTTTAAAAAATAATAAAATATCAGTTACAGTTATTTGCTATAATAATTGATTTACTATTATTATTTTAATAACAAAATTATTGTTTATATATTAATTTAATATTCTATAAAATTATATTTACTTTGATAATACCAATAAACAGGACATATGATTGAGAAATAATAATAATAATAAAAACATTATTATATTTCAATATTAGTTTTTAATAGTAGTTACTAATAGAGATTATAATAATATATAAATGAATAGTATATTAGTTACAAACAAAAATAATATTTATATTAATTTAATATTCTATAAAACTGTTTATATATTATATATATATATATTTTTACCAATAAACAGGACATATGTTTGACAAATATTTCAATTATTATATTTCAATATTAGTTTGTAAGTTAGCTATTAAAAGTGATTATAATAATAAAAATATAAGTACTTTATATATACAGTTTAGTTGAATTAATATTTAAGTGAATGTAAAAACAAACTATTTTATGAATTGATATTTTTTTAAAAAAGTTTTTATTTAAATTAAAACTATGAATTCACAGTCAATGACTGAAACTTCACATAATATTAGTGTCGCAAACATTACAAATGAAATATTAATATCATCAACAATTGTCCCGGACTTTGGCCAAAATCAATCAATCAGTGTATTAATTGTGGGATTTATGGCATTTATTATGGTTTGTCTGGTATTTGGTTTGGCTTTTAAATATAGGCAACTAATACATAATAATAGACGTGTTATCCATTGGATCAGCACTTTCCGGGAATTAATACATCCATCGTAATCACAGATTATTAAAAAAATATATTTATATTAATGTAATAACGACTAGTTTTAAATATAATTTAATATAAATACAATATATATATATATATATGTAAAATATTATAAATATAACTACTGTATAACTAAAATATTATATATATAAATTATAAATCTACATATATAAATATATTATTACTTTATATAATTAAATAACAAAAATTTAATTTTTATAAACTATTTAACTATTAATGATTATTATATTTGACTATCATTTATCACTCAATTATTATTATCATTAATAACTTGTATTATCCAATCGATATGCATCGACACCCGGGGATAAAGTGTATACGATATTTGATCGGTCACATCACACGGATAATTGCTATGGGATGCTGCATGTATACCAATGAGCACTGCCCTACCATCACTACTATATTGATATAGTGGTGCACCTGATTCACCCTATTTAACAATAGTATACATATAAATATATATATATAAATCAAGTGTCAGTGATTACCAACAACAACAAAAATCATAGAATATACAGTAGGATTAATATATATATATATATATATATATCTATATGAAAATTATTAGATATTATTTTTTTTTAAAAATAAATAAATAATAATATCATCGAAAATCAAAAACTTATTAACACATACAGGACAACCTCGGGAACCAATAGTAAATGGATATCTGTAGCTCCAAATCAAACGGGTTTGTTCATCAACTGTATTATTATTTGCCCGCATAATCATTGTATAACTTATTTGCAATCTATTGCTTAATAATTGATTGGTTGCGTGTATATAACCGTAACCGGCATACAATGCCAATTCATTGACTGTATTGATTTCAAGCTCTCGGGGCAAACATATACCGTTTAGTGTACGATAGGCGGCACCCAATCGTCGGCGACCAGTGAGCGGCAAATGTGATTGTAGTTTAATCAGTCCGATATCAAAGGCTGGGTTATGTGTTTTGTTTGTTTGCTTAAACATTGGATGTATAAATGTTTGTACCGGTCGGTAGCTATTATCGGTGCCCTTATTATTAGTGTCTAAAACTCCCGGATATACTAACAAATCATTAATTGGAAAACTGTTTTTTTTGTTGGTTTAAACAAAACGGTTTTTTTTAAAAATTTACATTTAATTATTTTTTGTATAATTACATACTCTATTGCATGTGCGACAGTCAATATCCAACGCTCATTGAGTATAATACCAGTGCCGCGGCTACCACTGGGTATTACACATTTAATTTAACTAAAATTATTGATTGTTTTAATTAAATACATACTAATTGCCGATTTGTATGTACACAATGAATGGTACTTCACCCGGTTGTGCGTTACGACCCAAATGTATATCCATTGTTGTTGTTGTTGTATTGGATAACCATTTAAAGCACTTTCCACTGGATATCAGTGACTGCCGTCCGATACCACATCCCTTGAGTGTTACATTGGGATAGTGTTTGATGGTTGAGTGAAACACACATACAATCGACAAACTGTTGTAACCTATTATTTGATGATTATTTAAAAACATGGTTTTATATTATTAATATAGACTTTTATCATTTTTTATTTTATTAGTTAATAGGTTACTATAACCTTTTTTTTAAAAAAAATAACTATATAACTCACTTATTAATAAAATTATTATAAATAAATTAACAATTATACAATAAATATTGTTATTAAACATTTTTTTAACAATTAAATTAAATAGTGATTGCAAGTAATAAACTTTTAATTGATATTTTAGTTTAATTTAGAAATTAATATAGAATTACAAGTTTTCATAAATATTAAATTACAATTAAAAAATTATTTATATAATCATATATTCTATATATTTATTAATAAATGTAAAACTATTTGATATTTTATAGAAATAATCTATTTAATTTTCTAAAAAAATGTTTATATTTAAAAATTGGAAATTTCCTATTTACTAAACATTTTGATAAAATAATTATTTGTAGTATTATATTATAAGTTAATCAATAACAATATCTGATCCCAGATACTGTACATAACAGTGTTTATTATGTATACATTGAAAAAATTTCAAAATAAGATTTTCAAATTCAAAAAAAATA